CTGTCTGCCTGCGAAGCATTTGTCTCTCAGCAGCATCGTACTGCTGCTCGATGATACGCTGGCTCGTCTTCCTGTCGTGCGGGCCTCGTACGTGCATCTTACCCTGCACCTGCAGATGTCTCACTAATATTTCTCAACACCAATGTGATGTGCATGGCCCGAGCCCTCACGGGAGACGTGCACCTGTGAGCGTTGCGGCCGTGACAGGTGGGTTCGAATCTAATGGAAACAGCCGTCGCTCGGTCAAGTCGGTCAACGTAAAAGAACGACGCTGGTCGTGTCCGGGGCCCGATGCCGTTTGTGGCTCACAGCGTAGAAACGCTCTAGAAGACATCAATGCGGGTTTTGTGGCCTGGGTGCAGATGCCGCGACTTGGGCTCTCGTTCAGCCCAGCTTAGACGAGATGAGCGCCCTGACAGTAGCATCTCGTGGGTTGTTTTGATTACAGCTCGTTGCACCAGGTCGCGAACGTCACACGTCGCGTCGTTAGCGAGTGCCACTGCAGCAGCGAGCCATTTGCTTCCTTGTCATCATCGCCGGTATGTCCTCCGGAGATGGGTGATGAACCCGAGAGAAGCAGGTGGCGTCCCAAGGGGCAAGTCTCGTTCGACTTGCAATTGCGGTCTGTTGTGGCCTCATGATGTTTCACTGGAGCTGCTATGTCTGACAAAAGCAAAAATCCCGTTCCCTGCATCATTGCTTTTGAGAAGCTACGGACGCTTGGCCATGGTTGAAACTCGGTTGCCTTGACTACGCCCACGTCACAGCGGAACAAGATGTCAGGTTGACTTGCCATTGAGCTAGGTTCGCGCAACGCACTGTTGCTGTTGACGTGGCAAGGCCGCCATTGAGAACTTCTCAATCAAAAGAGTTCTCTACAACATGGAGCTCGTTCCGTTCACAGTCCCAGCCACAGCTCGTCCTCGTCATGATCAAGATAGCCGGCAGAAAGTCGGAGTATATTCGATGTCGCTATGGCGGTCTTGCTGTTATCCGTAAGCGATTCCGAAACAGCGGGCAGAACATATATTGGTGTAAAACAGCCTGTTGAAGCACGCATATAAGGCGTTTGCAAGCTTGTCTTGCAAAATGATTAGTATTGGGTAAATTCATGGGTTTCGCAGACTGCTTGGCTTAGGACTGGTATTGTGTTGAGGTTGGCACGGGGCCATCGGCATGCGACTGTGAAAGACCTGATAGCAAAGTGACATGTATGATCATGGCAATAGTATGAGCAACGGCGGAGATGAGTCCGAGATTGACATAGATTTCCAGCCATGTGCTGTTCAAAGATTTCTTTGATCCAAAATCTTGTTCCTGGTTTTTTGGTGGACACGTTGTGCGCAGTATTGAGGCACTTCCCTTGGTTTGGTTTTAAGAAAGCCTACGTAAGGAAACTCAACAGCCTGCTATAGAAAATAGTGTTCTACTGGCTGTGGTTCTGAAGATCAATATAGTGATAACAGGACAATTCTTGTTTAACCGTTCCCATGTCTCTTGCTCCGTCTGTTATCGTCTTCACTCCCCGGTCCTCAGTCTTCTCAGCGGCTTATCACCTACGCCACGCCCTGATTATAAGTGAACCCAGTTTTTGACTGAAGACCGCCTATTTTTCCAGTAATATGCCGACTACTTTTCCTATAGCTATACTCTCCGTCGTCGTCGTGGTGGTGGTGGTGGTGGTGATCGTCGCCGTCGCTATCGCCACTGTCGTCTTCGAAAGGAGTAATTAAGTACACAGGAAGTATAGCCGCGCGGACACAGGAAAAATAGGCGGTCTCTTTGACCAAATGCCGACATCATATTCGATGATTTGAATCACATAAAGGCAGCTAAATGAATTGCTTCATCAATTAGAGCTCGGCGAACGCCGGATAGACTTGGAAGTGATAGAGATTGATAGACCTGTGCAATTGATGAGAGATATAATAAACTCGATGGAGATTTGAAGAATTTAATGTTCAATCTAGCTTGAAGTCTTACGCTGGGTATTGGCTACAATTGTCGCGCTGTTTGATGACCCTTCTGGAGTCACAATCTGGCCAAGGTGAGCGATACGACGGGGACGCTCGGAAACTTCTGAATGCTGGCTTTGATTTCGCATTCCGAAGGTTACTCTCAGTCTAACTAGCAGTATACCCGTTGAAATGATCATCCGGAATCTAGAGGCTTGGCTTTAGGGCGGGACAATCTACTGACGGGAGGAAGTTTCTTGATTCCATTTCTTGGTGATTTGCTGACCTGAGGTATTCGTTGCAGCCGTTGTCTATCCCGGCTGCCATAGGTGAAAGGCGACAGTGTGCCATGAAAACTGATGTACGAGCATTGATCAAGACCATAAATACAGCTATGCCGTTCTTTTCTGAGAATTTGTTGATACCGGTGTGCTGAAATGCGATACGGTAACGCCGACGCAGGACCACCATCTACGTGATAATTGAAGCCGGACCGAAGACATGATAGTAAGCTGACTTGGGTGAACCCAACCGTGCAGATTTCAATTTTGAATGTTTGGTTTACTAATAACGTTGATGTTCAAAAGTCACTTCTGATCGTGAGTAGGGATTCGGATTGTCATAAGTGACATTGCTGTTGGTCTTCAGCACCTCATCAAGGAGTCGTCCAATTATGATCGACAACAGTGAACCATCAGAGGCTGGGAGAAACCAACTGCCATTTCATCCAAGTGATATGCCTTTGCGTTATTTGCAAACGGCACAAAGAGTATTCCGTCAACAACTGGATGGGAGTTCTGATGGCTAGTGGCGCTGGGCGTTGGTGCCCTGCCGCACAGCAGAACTCCAAAGAGTGCATTGCAACTTCAAATTGCTTCCCAAGGTCCTTCGGACCTCGAGGTTTCCTTTCCGACTGCTCGAGACTGATAGAACATGGCGTCGATCGTAGCAAATTCCTCGGGATCTTGACCGTCGCCATGTAGTCACCTTTGTGCCCATTGGCTGCTCATCTCATCCACCCATGCTAGTATAGCAGGCTACATAAAGCAATCACGACTCACAACCCGCGAAATGACCGTACTAGTCGTGCCTAGCCTGGAGCTTCAGCACAAGCCCGGATGATAGAGAACTGGCTGCTTCGACTTGAGCACAGCTCAGGGGGTGCGGCATAGTTTTGCTAGGGGGCGCTTGTCTCCTATAAAGCCGCGTCATTGACGTTGATGATGTCTATTTTCTCTCCGAGGATCGAAATGCTAAAGCATGGAGCCGTGGACGTTTGTAATTTGAAGTATCCTTCGGCAAGTAGCCGACTTGACGCAAGAAGGGCAGGAGACGTGGGAACAGGCACGGGCAAGACCGAGGGTGGGATCACCCAACTTAATCATCATACTGTTGGTAACATACCCCGCGTGTTCCTGTTACGAGAAAGGGGATTCTCAAAGACCCCCAACACCAGAGCTCGAACAGCTCAAGTCAATGGTGAGTCAGTCTCCGAGAGCACTCGACCCACCAAGCACTTGGCGGTCAAGACCACTCCCTCAACAACATCCTCTTGAAGCAGTGAGTCACTGGGGGAACGTCGCATTGTTTGCATCACCTAGCGGGGAAAAGGGTGAACAAGCAAGTGAGGTGGCCGAAATTTCTCATTACCTCGCCCTGACGAGGGCTCAAGCCGGTCGAAGCCATCCACTCGGGATGGCCCGACGAATCATCAAGATCATCATCTTCATACGTTACATACAGGAAGAAAGTAAAACAAGACCGCCAGCTGTATTGCAAAAGCGGGTAACCAATGCAGACCGCTCCTCCTCCGATTCAAGATTCAAGATTCCAAAAAGTGACAAAGGAGATCCGATGAAAGCAAAAAAGAATGCATGAGAGGTGAGTCAAGGCTTTGGTTGACATGACTTTTTCTCTTTCTCTTTCATTTCTTGTTTTTTTTTCATTTTTTTTTTCAGATTTCGGGAATGACTGAAGAGGTTGTATTGCGCGCGCCAAGCCTGTGGTTCCTTTCGCGAATTGTTTCTAAACCTCCTCGGCCTGCCCTGGAGTAGTCGAAGGCGGCAAACATGCGTCCTCCAAAACATCCGTAAAAATTCCTAATCGGGAAGAGCAAATGAAGACAACAAAAAAAGAACACAAAACACAGTTCTGTATGGTTTCTTTGCACCCGTACATCTGTTGTACCGGGTGTTTCTAAGATGCCGAAACGCCACTTCTTTTTTTCTTCTGCATTGATTCCATCCCAAATGGAGTAGTCAAGAAGTTTTATGAGAGTCGAGTTTCCGCCTTTCCCAGTTGCCGTGACCCAAGTAAGCAAAAGCAGTTGAAAAAGGACAAACTTGGTGTAGGGGATGGTGTTTTTTTTTGTGGTTGCGTTTTTTGTGTAAAGAAAAGGCGTAGCAAGTTCTCTTCTGATCGTTTCCTCTCCTCTCTCTGATGAGCTCTTGGGTGTCCCGTTTCCACCACCAGCGAGTGAACGCGGAGCGTACTAGGGGACCCTGGAGGTAAACGCCAGTGCGAAGAGAAAAAAATAGTTGCCAGGGCCGCTGTTTCTGCGTGGATCATGTCCAGAGATGCGGGAAGGGAAGAAGGTAAGAAGAGCGGGAGGAGTGGCTTCTTTTCGTGTACGGGGGGTATTAGTCCTCGCGCTCTCCGCAGTCCACCAGAAAGGTTTCGGCCAACCTCGATGAGAAGTGGAATTTTTTTTTCTTTTTGAGAAGAGAAAAAAAGAACTCCCAAATGGTTTGTTTCCAATCTGGCGTGGGAGAGACGAGAGGAGAAAGTGACGTGCCGCGGAAAAGGAATCAAGCCTCCGTGATATCGCAATTCTCAGAACAACCTCCATTCCGTGTAAATGCAAATCCGAAGCAAAATGCGCACATGACAAAAACACCGTGTGAACGCCGTTGGCAAATATACCATGCTCGCTTTTGGATAGCACATGTGTGAGAGACGAACGCATCCTCTCACGGTCGTCGAACCGGACGCAGTCCAGCACGAACCGAACAAGAGTCTTGTTGTTGTTTTCTCATGTTCACCTCATTAGACGGTCTTGGGGGTGCGTGCGTTGGTGTGGTCGATGACGTCGTCGAGGTGGTTGCACATGGCCACGAACAGGTCGAAGAAGAGCTTGCTGCCGCCGCGCTCCATCTCAGTCTGCATGGTACCGCTCCTCTTGAATGTCTTGCGACACCTGATGATCAAGGCGAGGTAGTGAGCGCGCAGACGCGAGTCCGAGTCGGGGGTGTGGGCGTAGGCGTACTGGGCGGAGCGCAGGATGGTGCCGACGTCGACGCCGGACTGCAGACCCTGCTTGCGCAGGGCCAGGCGCTTGAGCTCCTCGAGCCCGTACCGCTCCGCTGCACAGTAGATGACGGTGTCGCGGAGGATGTGCTGCCCGCAGGCCGCGATGTAGATGGTCGCGTCGCTGCCGGGGGCGCCGGAGCCGGCGGTGGTGTTGCTTGTCGTGGTGTGCGCCGAGTTGGGCGTGGGCGGGTAGGCGCCCGGGGCAGGGGGGGCTGCGCGGCCACCTCTGTGGTGGTGGCTGTGGTGGTTATCAGGGTTGGGGGAGGTTTGGGGGGATCCTCTGACGGCATCCTCAAGCTCCCAAGAGTTGCGGTGCCTGTTGTGCATCAGGCGTGGGTAGTAGTCACCCTTGTAGAGATACTCGAGGATGGCGGAGAAGACCTCGGGTTCTTCGTCGGGGAGAGCGATCCGCTTGCTCTGGGCCTCGAAGAACTGACCTCGGCAGGCGGCCTCGAAAAAGGGCGACTGGAAGAGGACGTCCTCGTGGGCGGCGAACAAGCGACCCTCGCGACCGACCGTCAGGGTGACGATGGGCGAGGGGGCGACGGCAGACTTTCCACCGCCGGAGGCCTTGGCCGGCGTCGGCACGGGGCCACCGCGGGGGGCGGCGGCGACGGGCGGGGCCATGGGGGCGGGCTGGTCATCGGCCACGGAGCGCTGCATCTTCGACACCTTCTGGTTGTCCCGGATCGAGCTCGACTTCTTCAGCCTCGACGACTTGTCCACGCGGACGTTGGGGTCTTGCGACCTAAACGTGCGCTTGAAGAGAGACATGCCGGCGGATGTTGATGTTGTGGTTCGCGTGTGGTTGTTGTTGTTGATCTGAAGAAGAGGGGTGGTGGTGGTGGGGGAGTGTTGTTCTTGTACTCTTGCCGGGTGTTCTGATAATGAACGAACGATGCTCGGATGGGGGTGTGATAAAGTTGAGAGACAGGGGGAACCGAAAGCGATACAGGCGCGTTGCTCAAGGGACCTTATATGTCTTTGACTCTATGGGGATAGAAGAGGTGAAGAGAGTGACGAAAGGAGCGAATAGAGGAGAGGGAGGGAGTGATGATGGAGGGGTGTGAGGTCGGATGAGGGGGGGTCGGAGAGAGAGAGAGAGAGAGTGAGTGAGGAAGAGAGAGAAGAAGGACGAGTGACACACAAAAAGATTGACAGGGGCCCGGGGTGGGAGAAGTCTCCTCAGAGGGAGTTCAGAGTGAACGAACGACCGGTTCCAAGGAGATATTCCCAACTTGACTTTGCGACCCTTTTTTGGTTGTGCTGGAGGGGGGGGGGGAGGGGAGAACAAGAGGAAAGAGGGGTGTTTTTGAGGGGGAGCCGCGATATTTATACCGACTACTGATATTGGTGATGATTCTTGCCTTTGGCGTCTTGCCATTGGCTCCCGTCCCCCGCTCCGACCGCCGCATTTGCTGTGAGTGGTTGATGGTGGTGAGCACCAGGCGCGCCTTGATAGGACGGCAACAACAAAAAAAAACACTGGGTTCACGCGCTGTCTCTCACTCGAACGGCGGGAGGGCGGTTGACGCCGCGGGGGATGTGAGCCAGGTACAACCCGACCGACCACTGAGAGTTCATCTCAGGGCTGAGAGGGGGGACAGCGGCCCAGGGACAGCCCAGGCAGCATCGCCGCCCAAGACAAGCACCTCCCTCGAGCAGGCCTGGGCCTGGCAGGGTAGCGCCTAACGGCTGGCCTCTCGGAATGGAACGCTGCCCTGGTGACACGGGAATGACTTCACTGCCAGTTCACACAGCAAGAGTCCGAGGACAGAGACGAGGTACCGAAATAGGCGCAGTCGAGAACCTCCAGCAGCCCTCAAGCGCCGCCAACCGGGGGACCGCCCGCTAACGCACCTTAATTGCTGTTAACCTCCTTGGGTATCTGTACCCCCAAACCCATTGCCTGAGATATGTAGCGGTACATCCGTCCGCGTCTCGACCCTGAGCTTCAAGCAATGCGCTGTCCTTGAGTAGGTACCTTGCCTTGGATACGCTGGACACAGCACAGGGGGTCGCCAGAAATAGGAATAGCGGCCCAAACCTGGAAACATCAGTCAACACTTGCTGTCGCCCGTCGCCCGTTGACCCAGCCATGCGCTGTCCAGTCGCCCGTTGCCGCACGTGAGGCACTCGCAACGCGGGGCTCTTCTCCTGTGCCACAGACCTCATCTCCTGAATGTCTTCCCTCATGGACCCCAAAAGAAGGCGCAAGAAGGGCGGTCGGCACCTTCAGACGGGTGCCATTGGCTACGCCGGCCACCGCCGCTGGGTACCGATACATGTCCCGATACATGTCACACTACATGTCCCGGTGCTGGCGCCGTGCCCCAGAGAGCCCGACCAATAAACCTGAACGTACCTTATCGCCCCCCAACTGGCCAAGCAACACACTGACAACTTGACAACTCATCGGCGGCTCGACCTTCTGCCCTTCCGGTTGGCTCATCGTCTACACCTTCTGGAACGTACTCTGAACTGCAGGATCTGGACTTCACCTCCACCCTCTCTGACGCTCTCCGAATCGTCGCTCTCTCATCTCGCATCTTGTCCGGCCCCCAGTTGTTGAGAACTTAGAACCCAGGACCCTGACAACTGACGACTGACGATTGACTCCCCCTCCTCAACCACGAACACCGTCTCCCTCCCTCTCCCTCTCTCTCTCGCGCGCGTCGCGTGTTCATGGATACCCTACAGGAACCTCTCGCCGCATCATCGATACCTTACCATGCCGCTTGTCTCTCCTGCTCATCTTGACCTCGAGATTCCACGACTGAGCTTCCGCCAGCACCATCCATCACTCAACCCGTTGCTTCGTATTGGCCTGACTGCCGCCCGGCATGGCAACCTTAACTTCACTAGCCACAGCCCAAACGGGAATCCAAACGGGAACCCAACGCCTCTCCTAGAGTTCCGAGGTGCTATCAAGTCTACTCATTCATGTCCTAGCCGCATGAACGACTGCTGTTCTGACAGTCAGGCATATCGTGGTATCCCCTCCAAACTGCCGTCCCTCGTCGTGAACCGTGTGCCCGAGACCTCCTATTTTGCCTGTGCTAGAGCGACTACTTTTCCTGCGACTATACTCTAATCACTTCATCGTCGTCGTCGTCGTCGTCGTCGTCGTCGTCTTCGTCTTCTATTATCATCGTCGCTTCTATCCTTATTATAACTTCTATTGTCCTCTTTATTATCGTCCTCATCGCTACTATTATTACTATCGCTTTCGATAGGAGTAGTTAAATGCATAGGAAATATAGCCGCGTAGACACAGGAAAATTAGGCGGTCTCGTGTGCCCCTCGTCCGAACCATCTCTTGCGCGCCCTTGCCGGACTCAGCCCAACATCCCGGCAGAGATCCATCATCCCATCATCCCACCAAGGAATTCCCCCCTCTCCCCCCTCTTTCTCGAGAACCCTTTCGAAGCATGCCATACGCAGTACGCTCCATCGTCCGTCCACCTTCCAGCCTGGAAGGGACACCCCTAACAAGATTGCCATGCAGCTAGTCGGGCAGATTCAGGCACAAAACCACCGCCGCCAACCATCTTGGACCACCCCGACCACCCGTCCCGTCCTCCGCCAATCCATACCCCGGCTTGCCGACTGCTCTCCGCTACTCTTCACTGTCGGCAAGCCCAGTGACCTGCATCACCGCCTCAACACCGCTCCTTGCGCCGTACCGCACCGACCCATCTCTTCCATCGACCATCTCCTCTCCCCGCGCCGTCCCGTCAATGACCAAGATAGCTCGCAAACCCCATCACCCATGCCTCCTACTCATCCTTTTCTGTCAGTCACTCTTCATTCGTCATTTACTGGCCTCGGCTCGGAAATAGGTCTCTCTTGTTGGAAGTCATAATGTTCTAGGTTATTTCGGAATCCTATCCTCACACCCCCTCCAAGTCGTCTCCTCCACCGCCTCCAAGGTACTACACCTCCTTCGACTCCAGCCCGATGCATGCCTTAATCCCTCCTGCAATCTGAGGCATCCATCAAGATAGGAACACCTGACAACCACGTATGGCCAAGCCCGCCAGAACCGGGCCACCGCCGTCCTCACCGCCCGACCTTTCCCCCGCTCATCTCCGACGAGACCCGTCTCGACCGAAAGTCCCTCAGTGGCCCGCTGCTTCGGCAGCGGCGGCTACCCGTCTCGAGTGGGCAGCCCGGGAGATACTCTCCCTCATGCCAATGAGACCATACATGAGCGCGTACACTGGGCAACCGGTCAGCTTTCTCTCTCTCAACATGTCACTCGGTACCGGGTTACCCACAAATGGGAGCCAGAATGACAAATCCAATCGACGCTGCCACCACGGCCTCGCGCGATCCGGTCACCTTCTGGTCGAGCCAGTAGAAGGCATCGGCGCCGGTTTCGATCTTGCCGATGGCTGCCCAACCGAGGTAGAGACCCGCGAAGAAGATGACGCCCAATGTGTGCGCACCAACAGCCTGCACGGTGGTCAGTCTTGTCAGCCGGCACTTGCCTCCCCGAGTTCGGCACTGGCGTCACTCACCAGAGGGCGCTTGATGCTGTTGAGCCAGAATATCTCGAAAAGTGCAATGACTGTTGAGACGAGGAACAGGTTGATGATGACAAAAGCCTTGAACCAGCCTTCACCAAAAATCTCCGTGACTGACACCAATTTATTAGACTTGGTCATACCAATCAGAAAGGATGACTCACAAGGTCCATGTGGTTTGCCCTTGTTGATGTCCTCCAGACGAGTCATCTCAAAGCCCAACGACTGCTCGTACATGCTTGAGGCGTGCGAGCCACCAGACGGCTGGGGCTTGGGGGGCTCGGCGTTGCCATTGTCGTCGTGCGGCAGCTGTACAAACCAGTAGAGGCAGGTGTTCATGAAGGTGAAGACAGTGGTGACTGTGTAGAACATGGTGAAGTAGAACTGCTTGCGGAGGCTGGACATGTCGTAGGGCAGCGATGACAGTCTGAGCAACCAGTATTCCTAGCCACGGTTGCTGTCGTCAATGTGCGGGTGGTAGAGATGGGTGTAGGTCCAGCCCTGGATGCAACCCATGTCAGTCACTGCAACACGGACCAGAAGATGATTCGTACCAGCACTACCAAGTGGTAAATCAAAAGCAGAGAATATGTGACGATGGAGAAGTCAAAGACGACACGCCAGTTCGAGCACGGCGACTTCTCTCGAAGCTTGTAGTCGAGGATCATTGCACCGACTGCGGTCAAGTAGGCAACGACACCTCCTCGAATCCAGCAGAGGGCGTTCTGCGGCAGACAACGCCATGGCGAGTGGCATGCTCTCAGGAATGCGGGCTGGCGATTGATTGTAAGTCAAAGCCAGGAGAATGACCAGAGGATGGGCAAGGGACTCTTACATGGTCTTGGACCTGGCCATAGGCGGCTGGCGTGGGCAATCCCTCGTCTGCATGCCCGGCCTGGCCGTGGAGCAAAGGCGTTCTGACGGAGGCGTCCATTGAGGTGATCCGGAGGCCGGCACAGAGATTAAGGAAGTGTCAGGGATTCGATGCCAAAGAGACGATGGAATAAGAATCGAATCCAAGAAGTTCAGCGTGGATGTGGCTGTGTTATTGATGAAGGTTGAATCAGCAAGCCAAGGTTGAGGTCTGGAGAGGGATGTCGGTTCGAGAGGTCGGCGGGACAGTCGAAGACAAGAGGTGACGAGAGGAGAAGTACCGAGAAAGTGCAGCCCGTGCCTTCCCGTGCTGTGATACTATGGCCATGGCTGCCGTTGGGATTAATGATGTTCACGGAAGGAGGCAACTACACCCGTGGACTAAGATAGGACGATGGTTGACGCGGAAGGAATGGGCTCTGTCATCAGGCGAGGCAAGAGGAGGTTGTCGCAGCCTCCTAAGTTGGGCTGCGCGAAGATGAATTTGAAAGGTAATTGCACCCAAGGTAAGGTAACGCTGCATCTAGCATTCTGTCTTTCGATATGTGCAGAGTAGCTGTCTATTCAATCAGCAAGAACACAATGGAAGCAAGAGAGTCGACAAGATCATGAGTAGAATGGGCCAGAAGTGCTTGCCTCCCGGGCCTATTCTTGTGAGATACCTGCAAGAGCTGCTATGGTTCGGTAGAGAGATACATTCCAATTCAAACTGCCGGCTAGCCTGCTAGATTCTGGGAAGGTGTAGCGTCGACCCTGTTGGCGTCCCTCTTACCACGATCTTGGGTGCTGTTGATTGAGGGTATTTGCAGCTCGGAGTTTTCTATCCGGCTACAGACCTTTGGCAGGTCAGACCGATCCACCTTACATAAGATGCACAGTCCGTCACGTTCCACCCTGAGTGACATATCCGTGCATGGGAAAAAAGTTTTGGAACTTGGCCCATTTCTTACATTCAACTTCGCAGACATTAAGGCAGTGAACCCTCGGGCGAGCCTCCCACCAGCTACACAGCAGTTGCATCCAATTCGCGAGGCAGTGAACCTATTCGGCGAGCCTTTGCACGCAAAATGTCTTCAGCGCCTGAAGCTGCAGGTTTGTGCCTTCTCATGCGACACATCCCGGCCCTGACTAACAACCACTTCAGCTTGGCCTTTGGCCGATGCTGCTCTCACCCAGGAGCTGCTCGATCTCGCTCAAACGGCAACCCACCACCGCCAGGCCAAACGGGGCGCCAACGAAGGTTCGTTCTCTTCACTTCCAAACTTGCTGCCCGCCTATCCGACTGACTTCTGGATCAGTCACCAAAGCCCTGGACCGTGGCACCTGCGAAATCGCTTTGCTCGCTGCGGATGCTGCTCCTCTTACCGTCATTCTCCACCTCCCCCTGCTTTGCGAGGACAAGAACGTCCCTTACGTCTTCGTCCCTAGCAAGGCGGCTCTCGGAAGGGCTTGCGGTGTCAGTCGCCCAGTCATCGCTGCCTGCATCACTACCAATGAGGGAAGTGAGCTGGCTGGTACCATCCAGGTGGTGCGAGACAAGGTTGAAAGGCTGGCCATCTAGCTCTCAAGTGATGACGAATTTCTTGGGGCGGAAAGGTGCTGGTCGTAAACGGGCTTGGTCTGAGATGATTCTTGTCTTGGCCCCTTACTAGCTGTGTAGCTTGCTAGCAGAAAGACAAGATCGACATTGATGGATGAATTTTGACTCTGTGAATTGTGACTGCTATGGTGACATTTTCGAGGAGTTTTGCTAGCCGGGCAGTGTCAGTTGGCCACAAACTCTTTTCTAGATCTGGGCTCATCTGCAAGAAATTCCCTCTTTTCCGACAATATGTGATGGCCTTCTGATCGAGAGCTTATCGAACTTGATGTTCCCATGAGAAGCCGCCGTGTTCTCGGCTGGTTCCATGCCTGCAGCGCAAGAACCCAGCACAACGAAGCTCAGGTCGGTCCTGGAAAATAAAAGGTGGTCTGTGCAGATCTCCCGCTGGAAGGTGGGTAGCTAAGGTAGGTACGATAAGATAAGATAGATACGTACCTCTCTCCGTTGACACGTTCCACATCCTGAAGACAAGCGCGTGACCAGTGCTCTTTGCTTGAAGGTTCACTGAAAGTGTCCGAGGTGCATCGCTGGCCAGAACTTCAAACTCCAAGTCCGCCAACCGCACCTCGACATCACGATCCCACTGCTCCTGCCACCGCCGCTCTCACCATGTTGTCGAGTCTCGGAAACCCACGCCAGGCGGCGTCGCAGCTGCTCAACTTTGCCCTCATCCTTTCCACCGCTTTCATGGTATGCAGCCCACCTGCGCCTACTGCAGAGCCCTGACAAACACTTGCTAACTCGTGCGCGCGCGCAGATGTGGAAGGGTCTCTCCGTCGTTAGCGATTCGCCGTCTCCCATCGTCGTTGTTCTTTCCGGTAGTATGGAACCGGCCTTCCAAAGAGGAGACTGTACGTCCCCCTCCCGCTGCACCAGCTTCCAACCATGCGATGCGATGCTGACCGGACGCAGTGCTCTTCCTCTGGAACCGAAACTTCCTCCAAGAAACGGATGTCGGCGAGATTGTTGTGTATGAGGTGAAGGGAAAGAACATTCCGGTACGGGACAGCTGCTTCAATCGACGCTTCGTGCGTGCTGACGTGCCCTCAGATTGTCCACCGTGTCATCCAAAAGTTCGGCTCTGGGTATGGCGCCCCTCCTCTGCTGCTGTTGTGATTGCATTGCTAATTCGGCTCGTCGTCATAGACCGCAAGCGAAGCTACTCACGAAGGGAGACAACAATGCGGGTGCGTACTAGACTTGGGCGAGTACCTTGCGGCGGAAGCTAACAGGAAATCAGGAGCCGACCAAGAACTGTACGCCAAGGGCCAGGACTTCCTCGTACGAAGCGACATTATCGGTTCAGTCGTCGCATACATTCCCTTCGTTGGATACGTCACCATCCTCCTCTCTGAGCACCCGTGGCTCAAGACGGTAATGCTGGGAATCATGGGTTTGGTCGTTGTACTGCAGCGGGAGTAAAGCCACAGACGGACAAAAAAGTCGATTAGTTCTGCATTCATGGCGTTATGGGTTGTTCAACACTGATTATCAACAAGCGGAGGATGTTGAATTGTTGCAGCAGGGACTGGAAGTGGTTGCACGCCACAACTTGGCTGCTGTCGGGATCTAGATGAGTTCACCTGGTATCACGATCAGCATTGCACGCCCTTCGTGCCCTGGGGGCGTCGTGGCCAAGTGCTGTTCCAGGTCCTATGTGCCACTTTTGGCTGTGGGCGCCAAGACGTGATCTTGGAAACATCTTCCAGCAATGTGGTTTTGCTAGAGCTCGACGCAAAATAAGAAAAGGTCACTTATCAACTCCACAACTTTCCAGTAATAGAGATGGCCCTTTGTGGTTCCAGTCAGAGCCAGAAACTCAGCCGCACATCACATCACGGAGGCTTGCCCCTTGCTTGGAGCCAATTTCCACACAAGCCTGGAGCGGTAGCGGATGATGGTTTCTCTAGGCAGCCAACGGCGCCGCTGACAGGGTTTCTCACGAAAATCCATACGAGAACCAACGGCACTACCCAATGGGACGACCCTGATCTACGCCACTTCCAAGGGACCCTCCCTCTTTTTAGGTCGCGAATGTGACTAGGCAGAATCCTTCTGATCGCGCGTGCCAGTGCTTGTTGGTTACACACGAGCGGCACAGCCGTGCAATAAAATGAGATCCAACTGCCGCAGCAAATTTTACCCAGTTCGCGTCTCTTGGGTTCTTTTCTGTCGATAGCGTCGCTCTTTTCTCAAACTACCCTCGCGAACAATCAGTCTTTCGTTTTCACCCTTCACATTGGTTCTTGTCTGTCATCAACAGACCTCCCGATTGTAGATTCGTCAGTCCGCGCACCATGTCCTCCCCGGCGCATCAGTCGCAATACGGCCTTCAGGGGTACCAACCATACGAACATCAAGGCCACCAGCGCGTGATTCCCTACAGCAAGCCATGGCACATTGCCAAAATCGTAATGCGGTGTTCCGACATCGTCTTCAGCTTAATCGTCATCGGCATCTCTGCATACGTCCTAACAATTGCCTTCTCCGGCGGCGCATTCTACCTTATGAGCTGGCTGCCTGTAAGCCCCGCAGTGCTTCATATCCACTCAAAGTTTTGAGGCTAATGTTACCCTGCAGGCTGCGGTGGCTATCATCTGGGACACTGCAGAACTCATTACCATCTGCGCGAGAGGAGGTCGACGAGGAATTCACCCAGGCGCTCACGTCGGCTTACACCTAATCTTCTGGCTCTGTTTTGCGGCAGCAGTTGGCCTTCAGGGCACATACATATATTTCCGAGATGTTGATGACTACTATTATTATTCCTATAGCAGCAGACGGCAGTCCTTCAGGAGTAAAGTGGTTCCTATGCAGAACACCGTTACCGCCTTCACTGCTCTGCTGCTGTAAGTCCATGCGACCCTCTCCCCTCTCCCCTCTCCGCGGGACTGTTGGAGCTTGTGTGCTAATCAACGGTGACAGCATCAACCACTTCATTCTCTTTGTCCGAGCCTGCGTAGAGACCAACCAGCGCAACTCCCGGCCACCTGTTTTCATGGTGCCTGTCAACGCGCCCCCGCCGATGCAAAGCCAGGCGGTAGCTGGATCCTATGTGCCCTACCCTCACCAACCTCAGCAAGCGTACATTCCAGCGCAACAACAAGACAAGGGGGAACAGGCGGCCGCATCCAACCCTTCAAACGCGGGGCAGTACGTGCCACCTGGACCGGATGGCACATATTATGGTCCGGCTAGTCGTTAAGGTGGTGATATATAATCTAAGGCTGTTTGTGAGAAGAGCGAATCATGATACCCCGCTATAACGTTCAGGCTCGGTTGACGGTTGAAAGTGGCGTAATTTGGCAGAACAATTGGAGTAACAGCGCCATCACGGATTATGGTGACAGTATGGTGTGGTTCTCTGCCCGGGCACCAAAAGTGTTTGAACAAAATGACGACTGTTACTCATCTTCTGATGTTGAATTCAACGTCCCCCCTTGCGGGTACGTCACCCGGCTTTCAACATGTATATCGGGCACTGCGGTTCTCTTAACCCCATCAGGGATTCCGAAGTCAAGAACGGGTTGAAGTGATGAGAATTGTATGCAGCAATAAGAAAAAGATGGTCATATAATAAAGATTTGTTTCATTAACACCACCTTCGCAAATATTACGCTTTGTTGCTGAGCTTAGGTGGACCATTGCACGTCAAAGTCCTTGAACTGAACGACAAGATCGTCCTTGGCATCCTTGGCGGGCCGGGCCACCAGGGCGGCAATAGTAAGGTTCCAGTCCTTGCCTGATGAGTCGTCGTCGCCGTAGACCCAGCAGATCTCGCGCAGCGGCTCCTTGGTGCCATCCTGTTTGATGTAGTAGACCCAGAAACCGAGCCCGAGACCATCGCGGCCCTTTTCGATTGTCACGGTGATGCTCTTGGAATCCTCAAAAGCGGCCAAAGGGGTGATGCTCCAGTCGGCCCAGCGGTCGCACGAGACTGTGCTGAGCTGGGGGGTGCCGTTGTAGTACTCCAGGCCGGTCTTGATCCATCTCCGTTCGCGAGTGCCGGAGACGGAGTCAAAGGTGAAGATGAGACCGGCTTGGTCGTATTGCTCTGACCAGTCTGCCGAGAAGGTGATTTTGGCGGACTTGAACTCGCTCAGGTTCTTGGCTGGGAGAGCATGGACGGGGGCTGCAATGGTCAGATGGACTTCTTGAGATGGCATGAGTATGTACAAACCGTTGTAGATGTTGGTCGTGGGGGGCTTCTTCCAGACATCAGTGCCGGGGCCGGCAGAGAGGGTGAAGCTATTGTTCGACATTGTGAACGTGTCTGCGTCAAGGGCTAATGCGAGCTGAACGTGAAAGATAGCTGTGAGGTAGATTACTGGGTATCAAGGGGCCGAGGATGTTTCAATTGGACTCAAGGGTTCAATAAGCAAAAGTCAGGTGGGAGGTTACGGGGATGCTGGTTATATAGCCCAAGATGCAGGACTCATGTGGACTTTGTAAGACGCCGAGATGGTGTGAGAATTAAGTTGACCCGGGCTGCCCCGCATCGGGGATGCAGCAGGATGACCGCCCGGCGTCTTAGGCGCTCGACAAGGTCCACGCGAGATACCTCCATCTTAGACATGACAACGGTCTTGTGGGCCGGTGATCCGCCATGCTTCTTAGAGGTTGTAGATCAAAAGAGGCACGGATGTACTGCTGCGCGGTGCAGAAGAGACCAAGTCTGCCTTTGGCAACATATTGAACTTCCAGGTGACCACCAGGCTTGAGCTCCGGGCCGGACCTTCAAGCCTGAAGCCACTTGCGCTGCGAATGGAAGTAGCTGCAACACATCTGTCCTTTTCGCTTACCAATGTGACTAGGACACAGCCCGTCTCATGACAATAGGATCAAGATTTGGACAGTTGTCGACATGCGATTGTCCGGTTGGAAGCTTGAAGATGCAGGGAAGATGTCCAAGGTGACTCGGACCCGTTCCACAACGCGGGGCAGAGCGCTGTGACTCGGCCCACGGGGGCCACCTCAACCAACAGTCCGGCTGATCTACGGGGAATTCGGTGGAGACTCCGTAACAAAACGTGAGCTTTTGGAAACAAGTTTGCTGCGTGGCTGGCTCAGGTTGTCATGACCGAAGCAGCAAGTACTCTGTAGAGTCTGTCAACTCGCGCACCCGGGTCGGTCCTTGTAAGAAGTTTTTCAACGGCATTCATATTACCAAAAACGAAGAAATCAGCCAACGAAGGTTTGTATTGTTGCTGTCAGAGTCCGAGTTTGGGTCAGTCAAGTTGCAATGGTGCCCGCTTGGAATCATCATGTGCTGCCGTCGCTTTAACTCAAGGAGGAGCATGAACCAACCGGACGTCGTTTTGGCGCCACTTCAATCGAAAAGGCCTAACTAGAATAGGAACAAGAGCCAGCCAGCCGCAGCGGTTCTGTTTAGCTAAGTCAGACGTGGTAAGGTACCTAGGTAAAGTAATCAAGGGGAACCGGCCGAAGCAGACGACAACCTGGATGGAGGGAGGCCATGGGGATTCGAACCGTGGTCCGCCGAAACGCTGAAGACTCCAGTGGAGATTTGCCCCTTTCGGTCCTCGTCAGTGTCTGAGTCAGCGCTGTGCCCCTCTTCAAAGGCCGTCCTCCAGTGGTCGAGGAAGTATTCTGTGCCTGTCGGCTGCAGTCTGCACAGTCATCTCCGAAAGCAAAGGTGCACCTTCCCCCGCTCGACCATCTCGTCGCCCACCCCCACAAATTTTTCATTTCCCGCCTCACGTCGCCGGCCACCAGTATCTCGTGTCTCGCCGCAGCAAACAGCGACCAACTTCCTCACCAACCGCGCTTACACACCCCCCTACCCGATTTGCTGTCGATTCGAGAAACAATTGCGTCACCGGACACGCATTGAATACGCACAAAGGCGCGTCTTCCAAACTCACCCTCTCTCTCTCCATCTTGAGGCGGGCTGTGCCTGTGCCTGCCTGGAGGGGGAAGAAGAAGACGAAGAAGAACGGGAAAGGAACGACCGAAATTTCGACACTGCCCCTACAATACTTCTATGCAATCCTTTGCTGTCGCTGAGAATAAAAAGACCCCAAGCTCAACTGCTTGCCTCCGAAGAGCACTCAACTCGCTACCATGTCGTCGTTTTTAACGCCCACCAAGAAGTCGCAAAAGCCCCAAACCAAGTCGAAGCCATTTCAACCACCGAACCGAATTCGAGCGATTCGCGAACAAGCTGAACGTCAGCAAGCCAATGCCGCTGCTGCTGCCGCCAATGCCGCCGCCCAAGCACAACTGAACCGCGCCAGACCTGCTACCGTCGCCGTCTCCAAGGGCCCGCAATGTCCGAACAAAGCATGTGTCAAGCCCAACGTCGTCGACGGCGTCTGCCAGACTTGTGGTCGAGTCGCTGACGACAGCAATATTGTCGCCGAGGTTCAATTCGGTGAGACTTCCTCCGGTGCTGCCATGGTCCAGGGTAGCTATATTGCCGCCGACCAAGCTGGTGTCCGGACCCTTGGCCCTGCCTTCCGCCGTGTTGGTGGCTCCGACGACCGAGAGAAGTCCATCCGCGAAGCCCGTTCCCTTATGCAGGGTTACGCTCATCAGCTGAATCTTGGAGAGAACACGGTCAATACTGCCGTTCAAATTTTCAAGCTCGCCTCGCAAGCCAACTTTGTTCAGGGTCGCACTTTGGTCATGGTAGCCGCAGTGTGTCTATACGCTGCTTGCCGTACGGAGAAGCCTTGTCGCATCATGCTCATGGACCTTGCCGGTAAGCACACACGCGTTTCCCTGATTCGAGCACCATAATACTGACAACAAATTGCAGATCTCACACAATTGAACGTTTTCAAGCTTGGCCGAGCCTTCAAAGCACTCAATGCCACTGTCTTCATCTTCGACAACGGCGAAGGACAAGTTTTCCCCGAAGATCTCATCTACCGGCTGGCAAGCAAACTTGAGTTCAAGCACATGACCAACCGCGTTGCCGAAGACGCCATCCGCCTGGTGCAGCGCATGAAACAAGACTGGATTGTCATGGGCCGTCGACCTTCTGGTATCTGCGGCGCTTGTCTTCTGATGGCAGCAAGAATGCACAACTTTCGCCGAACTGTCAGGGAAATCGTCTACCTTGTGAAGGTGACCACACATACCATTCAAGAGCGTCTAACAGAATTCAATGTGACGGACGCCAGTAAGATGACGGTGGAGGACTTTTTGGCTCAGGACTTCAGCTCCAACTCACACGACCCTCCGTCCTTCTACAGGAACACCGAAAGCTGGCAAAAGAAGCAAGAGGAGCTGGGCAAGAAGCGCAAGCGTGCTGTTACAGATGACGGAGAGAACGTACGGGCTACACCGGCACCACTGCCTCCGCCTCCTGATCTTTCATCTGCCCCCGCAATCGAGTACCGCCGCGACAAGGACGGCTACATCATTCCTCCATTGCCGTCCAAGATTCAACAAGATGAGCCCGCACTCCGTGACGCGAACAGCAAACAACACTTGGAGACACTAGCCGAAGAGTTTGGCGATGCAACGACAACGAACGAGGAATCTTCGCAAGCAGAACCGGAGGCCGAAAAGACCACAAAGGCCAAGCCGAAGCTACCAATCAACGAAGCATGGGAGCAGGACGAGAACGAGATGGAAGAACAAATCTCAGAAATCATGAACGACCCTGAGACATACGAGCACGCCAAGGCATTCAGCAACGCTGAACAACGAGCACGCATCCACTCCATCTGGGCACTACAACAGCAGCCTGACAAGGCTGTTTCGATGGCTCCGGTGGTGGGTGAAGACGAATTTGCCGACGACCCCGAGGTCCTGAACTGCTGCTTGACCCCTGAAGAGATCAAGATCAAGGAGCTTCTTTGGGTCAACGAGAACAAGGATTGGCTGCGCCAGTCTCAGGAACGACTCTTCCGCAAGAAGCTTGAGGGCCAGAAGGAGAAGCCCACCCGGAAGCGCAAGAAGAGGCCTCGCATTGGCGAGGGCCAGACAACTCCTGCAAGTACCCCCGGAGAGGCTGCCGTGAACGTCATGAAAGAACGTGGCTTCTCGAAGCGTATCAACTACGACGCCATTCGGCAAATGTTTGATGTCCCTGATCGCGGCGACCCTGGATCTCGACCAGAGAGCGAAGCTGCCAGTCGCCCGACTAGCAAGGCCCCCAGCGTGCTTGATGATCCCATCGCTGATGACGAGAGTGACCACATGGGTGGCAGTGGAGACGAGATGGACGACCATCAAGACGACGAGTTCGGGGGCGGCGATGACTACGACGACATGGGCGACGAGTCACACATGTACGATGACGACGATCAGGGTATGGGCGAAGATGAAGACGAGGATGATTTCGGACTTAACGACGACGACGAGTAGTGTGATTGTTTCTGATTCGTCGTCACTGGACGGCTGCAGGTGGCGAAAACGGTTGGGAGGCATGTTTTATTGTTTAGATACCCCAAGAGCTCATGGCATATGGCTTCGGCATACTACAACAGCATCGCTGCCATGCATGTATTTCACGGATAGAGGGTTTAGATTGGCCAACAAGAGTCTGTGGTCATTTCATCAAATTAGTTTTTACATCGTATATCTGTGTGTCTATCCATCCACTCGTGAACCCAAACAGAAAAAGGTTGCTATCCCTCAAACACCAAAACCCCTGCACAGGAAAGAAAAAGAAAAAAAAAACGACACAGAACGTCAACCATGGGTATATGCCGATGAAACATGCGCAACCATCCAGCGCGAATAACATCCCAAGGAGCGAACCAAGAAATCAAAAGTCGTCATCGGCAGCATGCTCCCATCTCTTGCCACCAAGCTTGCGCACCTTCTTCGGGCTACCTGTGCTTCCATTGCTCGCGGTGCTCTCGTTGCTAACGCGCAACCGTTCCATCTTCTTGCCCAGGTTGTTGAGCCCGCCGCTGCTGTCTGCCTTGCGGCCTCCAAAGTCCTCGCGCTCGGAGAGCGGCTTGCGCTTGCTGGGGCTCCGTCCGGCGAGCTCGCGCTTAAGAATCTCGTTCTCGCGGCGCAGTCTCTCGTTCTCCTGCTCAAGGTTTTCCACCAGTAGGTTTTCTTTGTCCTCGCCAACATCGTCGTCCTCTGCTACTGTGACACCGAGGCCTTTTTCGAAAAGCTCCATTTTGCGATCCCAGTGCTCTTCCCCCTTTTCTTGCTCCGCCGCCAGGGTCGCCTTCCACCGCGCCAGCTCAAGCTCGAAACGGGTGTCGAATTCGGCCATGCAGTCTTCGCGCACCGTCTGTTCAAGCTCAATCAGGCGATCCTCCATGCTGAGGAGGTGAGCCTCAGCACACACTCGTGACTCGCGCTCGTGATCCAGTTCGATGTGGAGGTTTGTTATCTCCTCCTGCATGCGAGCAATCTCGAGCGCAGCGTGCTCCATGAGGACTCGGTCTCCGTTGTCAGAGCCAGGGGAGAAGTTCCTATGTCCTCCCGAGCCGTGGCCGAAGTAACCGCGACGCTGAGGAGGAGGATAGTCAGGAGACGTGAGAGGCGGGGACGCGTGAGAAGTCGAGGGGGTTTCTGCAAGGAGAGTGGACGTGATGCTGGGAATGCGCGGAACCGTGACTTCTCTCGCCAGAGCGCTGTATCTGAGAATCTGAGAAGTTGCGTTGAGGTCACCGTGTGCGTCTGCTGTGACGACCATGACGCCGCGCTGCGGGTTGCGACGAACAGCCACACCAGAAGACGAGGTGGAGAAGGAGTTGGAAAAGAGGAGCTCCGTCATCTTGCACTGGCGGAAAGGCATGACGCTGGGCTGTAGAGGATAGAGAGGTTAGCTTCTGTCGTAGTGTGCCTGGTGTGCAAGATGACGTACCTTGCTGTTGCTTCCCAGACTGCTCTGGGCCTGCAAGCATTGGCCCAGGTACATGAGGCTCTCGTTGATCTTGCCAGCCTCCGCAAGAGTGGCACCTTGGGTCTTTGCATCACGAGCACGTTCACTGCCGGCGAGATCGACAATAGTCAGGGCATTGCCAGCCCAAGTCCGGCTGCGGCCGACTCTGGGGCGTTTCTTCACCTCCACGCAGAAGAAGCCATGGCTTCTAGACGACACGCTGTTGCTGCCGGTCCCCGCCACCTGACGCTCATGCAGTCCAGCCTCCAAGACCATAATGGCTTCTCTCATGTTAGTGCAGGCAATCTTCTTTAACCCGGCAACCACCTTCCTATCGGCGGACTGCTCTGTCGACTTGAACAAAAGGGGCCGTCGGCGGTACTCTTTCGTGGCGTTCGACTTGATCGGCGGGGTCAAGAGATCGTAGATCTTGTCATTGTAGACTTCGTACATGGAAAGAACGACAGCGTAGTCGGCATCGGGGTCGGAAGAAACGTTTATGGAGCTGATGTCGGGGGCTTGGGGGAGGTTCGAGGGTCGCTGCAGAGCTCGTCGAGGGGTCGGTGGAGGATGATGTTCGCCCTTTGCGGAAGTTTTAGCATGGCTCTTAGTCTGTGAAGCTGCGGTCATGGTCATGAAGTGCTTCTGCGCATCTTGAAGATGTTCGGGTGTTTGGAGAAGAATGGACATTGAGAATTCATGCGGACGGTGACGTCGTGGCTGACTCGGAGTTGAGGGCACCAGCCGCACACCGCCTATATCCATCAATGGCTGCTGTCTCTTGTTTTGACGCATTGCATCGTGGGAAGAAAAGGGGTCGGCATGAACAGATGGGGTTCCTACAATCATTGGCGTGCCTGCTCTCGATCCTCCTCCGCGGGATGAACCAAAATCGGAAAAGACGGTCTCGAGAAAGTATGGGGCTGACATGATGGTTGCGTCGGAGGCGTCGGCGGCCTGAAGAGAGCCTTCGAGGCTGGGAGAGTCGTACATGTTGGAGCCGATGGATCGGAAGACGACGTCCAGCGCAAGCTGCGTCATGCCTCGTTGGGTTCGGGAACCAAGAATTGTGTGAGACTGCAAAGGCAATGTCAGCCAAAGTCTGACGGCAAGCGATGGATGCCATGAGCGAGAAAACAGCATACCTTTCCGGAACCAGTAACACCAAGGGTCGCAATCAAAGCATCTGTGCCATGGCCGCCATGGGGAGCCAAGACACCTTCGACCAGTGACGCGACGCCCGTGGAGTGGAAGACTTCGAGCTGGGTGGCATCCTCCTCGAAAACCTTGGTGAAGGCGAATTTCTCGGTGGAACGCTTGCGGTCATTCGGAGGGTTGAGGGTGATGTGTGTCGGATGGGAGCCGTCTGCTGGCTCTTCAACGCTCAGGAATCTGTCTGAGGATGCAGCTCCAGCCGGGGGCGGCCTCAGTCGCAGGTAGACCTGGAAGAGGTTCGCGGCCGACTTGTTTGATGACGTTGAAGCATCCATCGTGTCTGGTAGTCGTGTGTCTCGTGCTGTTGGGTTAGTGATGCTGGTGTATGGCGAGACCCGTATGTCGTTCTGTCGGTCGAGGTTGACTGAGCTGAGTCCGACGCGCGAATCTTTGAGGAGCTCGCCAAAGGCACAGAATCCTTGTTTATGCCGGTGACCGGGCAACGGAGGCGAGATAAGATATGATAAGCGATCATAGCTTCGATAACCGATAAGGGAATGGGATGGAGGGCCGTGCACTTTCCCCTGATTTTTGCATCGCCTTTTTTTTTTCTCAATCTCAACCCCGCCACGTTTTTGCACGGTGGACCCCGCTGAGACACAGCTCCGAGTGGGGCTTGTGCTTTGCTGGTGTGGCGTCGGGTCCGACCGAGGGGGAAGGGGGGACCTGGCCGAAGTGAGTTCGGGGACCTGGGCCCTGGACAAACCATTTGGCCTCGATCCAACCTCACCTCCCACTCTGCATGTACTGCGTAATACTATGTAAGGTATGGCGTAGGCACTTGACCCTTATCTTGCATCAGGCGTGGTACGCTCACGCTGCCTTCTCAAGCGTGGGTAGGCAATTTCACCAAAGACAGGACTTCCGTAGCTTACGGCCCGAATGGTCAGGCATTTCACAGTCGTTGGCTTTGGCGAATCGCAGCATGGTTGCGTCTTTTGCTGGTTGAGTCAGACCACGACGCCTCAGAGTCACTGTGATGAACCCCAAGTCAAACCATGAAACATCAAACAGACGTCTTGCCTCTTGTGATACACAACGGACGGGCTGTACCAGCAGGTGTCGTGTCGTCGGAAGAAACCTCCGTCAGTCATGTTTGCTCGTCCTCCTGGTAGAGTTTTCACCTCCTTTTCGAAGAACTGGCAGAGCTCTAGCTTGCGGGACAGAGTTTTTTTCCCTCTCCCATTTGAGGCTCAAAGTCAAATGGTTGGGGCCGGCGCAGGCATCACCCAGCGGGCTAGCAGCCCCTCATTTTCCGTCAGTGAGTCATGAACGACAAGAGGCCAGACAACCGGGACCAGTGTCGTTCAAGGCTGATCCCTATGACTACCGTCTGACTGGGCGAAAATTTGGACTGCCTTCGATGGGCCCTTTTCTTGCAAACGACATCGGGCAGCACCGAGCATCCGAGGAAGCGGGAAGCTTGCACCGGGCCCCGCAAGAGCTCGCCATTTGTTCTTTTTATTTTTTTCGTCTCTTTCTGCTGCCCCTCTCGGCTTGCCTCTCTGTCTCATGCTCATCTAGTGGAAGTCATGGTCCGGTCTTGCAGATAACGTAGATAGATGAATGTGTGCCAGCTTGGAACTCTGAAGCAGTTGAGCATGAGCTCACCTTGCCGCCAGAGGTGACTCAACATTTAGACGCAGACAAACCAAACGAATTGGATTGGACGGAAGAAACTACGGTGTGTGCAGAGGATGTACTGAATGCTTACGCAGTATAGTGGTAGTAAGTGCTCGTCTGCAGCAGCAGGTGGACAGAAGATGATGAGCTGGCCATTCTCGTCTTACCCCTCGAAATCCCCTCGACTCGACTCTGCCCCTCGCTCGACTTGTCGACTTTTCCAGGAGCTACTGGATGCCCCTCGATGTGCCAAGCCGAGGCGAATCAGGAGACCGCCTACCTATTTTGCATATCGAAGCTCCATACTACGCCGTATGTACTATGTATTCGTAGCGTCCCATATGCAGGCAAGCAGTGGATCACAATGGAGACGTGGACGTTGTGGAGGCACTGCTCGTCACAGAAGTCCAATGCAAGCGAGGAATGGAGATGTCTTGCCCATGAAGAACATTTGGGAAGCCATGGAATGTGAGGCTTTGGCGCCGTATGGTCCACAATGCTGCACCAGGAGCCCAGCACCGGCCATCAGCTGCGCCTCTCTCGATGGCTCTTCTGCTGCCGCTGCATTTGTTAGGCGCCGGGCTAACCAAATGGTGAATGAGGCATGACATCTCCTACATCTTTTGTAGAGCGTCGTCTGCTATGCTTGCATAGCTCAAGATGTGATTGAAGATATCGGATACGTAGAGATCTTCAGACATGCAAAAGATTCTCAGCGGGTCACACGTACACTAATCTCATATATTAAATCTCACGCAATGTAGGCATGATCAGCCCGGCTCCATCTCGATCCAGACCAGGTCGACGGGTGACGACAGCGAGGAGGGGGAAATCTGGCGAAATGGACGGGAGAAGATGCGCTGGAGGGAAGGTGAGCGAGGTGCCACTGGACGTTGCAGCCAGAGGGGAGGGGCAGAATTGGCTTGATGAGGTCGATGGTCCAGCAAAGGCCTGTGACTGTGAGGTGAGGGGAGTGTCTTGCGGCCAAGCACAGGGGTTTCCTCCACACTTCACAGCATCAATCCACTAATGACGGTGCTTCTCCAGCGTGTTTTTCCAGTGTCTGCAGGCCACCTGTAGGGGCGGCCAGGGGTCAACAGGCGCAAAAAGGCGGTGACGGTGTCCCTAATCCGGCCTAGCGCGTGCTTCAATACCCCACTTTAAGCGAGCCAGACAATGCCAGATTCCCAGGCTTTAGCGACCCCACTGAACCAGGACCCAGTATGGGCCAAAAAAAAAAAAAAAAAANAAAAAAAAAAAAAAAAAGTTTGGGCGATTTCGAGGGGGGAAAAAAAAAAGTTCGATTGGCTGTGGAGACCCCGGCAGCCATACATTATTTTCGGAATCCAATTGTACCTAACCTACCTCCTCCCGGTCCTTCTCTTTTTTTTTTTCCCCCTTCTTCAACCACCAATTCAACCCCAAACCACCAGACAACGAAGTCGCCCTAGCCACAGAATATTCGAACAGAACAGTCAGATACCCTTACCAAACTTCGTCGAGATCATGTCGCCCGCTTTCGCTGAGCTGTAAACGCCCACTGCGGGGGTGCCTGATCGAGGCGCCTCTGCAGTCCAGCAGCCCATCGAGACATTCAATCCTCTCTGCTTTCGACGAAGTGATCCCCCAGGCTTTCACTGTCCAGAGCCCTCCCGAGGGAACGGTTCTGGCCCATTGACGGAAGTCTGCATCTGATTTCAATCCGAATCGACTACTTTTGCCCGACATTCACTCGGCTACACCACGCCTATCCGCTACGACGAAAACTACTACACTCTACTAACCCCTTCCTGCCGACATCGCGACCTACCACCTGTCTCTCCTCCCCTTCTCTATAAATACGAAAATCGGTATCAACATACCACTACACCAGGCGAAAGACCATCTCTAGTCTACCTTAGCCGCCATTATCACCAGCTTGATATTCCAACGGCACCTTCACCGCCGCTACTCCAGACTTCACCCCACATTGCCAATACCACCGGCTGGGGTTTCACCCCCTGCATAATCACCGCCATGTCCCGCAACGTTCGCAACAAGTCGTCTGCGGCTTCTCGCAAGGCCGCAAAGCGTCGCGATTCAGTCACCTCCTCCTCGTCTTTCAACCTTTCCGACGACGACGGCTACTCCGCGGTTGAAGATATCAGCGACTCCTCCGATGACGACGAGGAGGATGTCGTTGCGGCCGAGGAGGAGCATATCCTTCACGAGGTGCTGCCCCCAAGCATCTCAAGCTCTCCTCGGCCGCCCATTGTCCAAGAAGAGGACGATGAAGACGATGACGATGACGACGATGATCAAGAAGAAGAAGATGATGAGGAAGAGGGCGCTGCCGACGTCGAGGACAGTGCCAGTTGGGACGGCATCATGTCTGATGTCGAAGAGAGTGCCGCTTCCGACCACCAACATCACCGGTCTGAGCATGTAGAGCGCCATGTTCGTTTCGACGTTCCCTCGAGTGATTCCGACTCTACCGACACCGAGGATGACCATGCCGATTTCTTCCCCGACATCTTTGTGGATCAGAGTTCACTCGACCCGGCCTTCCGCCGCGAGATCGAAAATGATGATGAAAATGACGAGTCTGAGAATTCCAATTCTTTCTGGGATTACCATGGCGACTACCATGGAGCCTACGACTACGCCCCTGACGCAGATTCGGAGATTGAGGCTGTCATTCAGGAACTTGGCGACGACGACACCCCTATTGCTACCCCCATGACTGCGGGCGAAGTCTCCGAAATGCCCACTCCAGTCGCAGCTTACGAGGAAACTCAAGAGCTGGACGGCTACGAGAGTGAGTTTGTGCCTCGTGATACAGATTGCGATTCAAAAACGTGATTGCTGACGTGCTTGTCCAGCTGATGGTGACACCACCGAAGAAGATGAGCCTGAACCTGTCGTGCGCCGCAAGATTAAGCGTCCTGAGCAATCCGCCGACCAGTGGGATGACTCCGACACGGATCACCCGGTCAAGGGCGAGCGAGGACAACCTCGCGTTGGCCGCTTCAACCTCGACAGCTCTGAGCGCAAGCCTATCGCCGTTGTGAACCCCATCTCTAGAAAGATGATGATCTTTACCCCTCATCGCCGTCGTCACCTTGACTTGTCTCCGGAGCAGTTCAACTTCTCGTACCTTGCTCCCATTGACGAGAACCAGAACTCGCCCATGCTCAGCAACTCGGCTCAGATTATGATGAGCGCCATGTTCTCTTCCAATACATTCGGTGACTACCTCAACACCCAAGCCATGGGACCCGCCGAGGCTTTCTTCCCCTTCCAGTCTGAGCCGAACACGGCCGATGAGAGCTCCTCAGTGGAGATTGAGGAGGATGAGGATGAGATTGAACGAAGCCTCGACATCAACGACTTTATCGAATTCGACGACACCAGGTCTCTCGACGGCGAGGACGAGAAGCAATGGGACGGCGATACCGTGAACACCACTCCTGGCCGCCCGCGCAGCTCAAGTGACATTGACCTCCATTCACATATCAATGCGAACAACGTCGGAGCCTTCCGTCGTGACCAGATCAACCAACGACTTATTCTGAGCGACAAAGCTACCCAAGACTCGCTCGCCCTCAGCAGCCCCTACAACTACACCGCTCTCCGCGGACTGAAATCCGACCGTTTCGAAACGGCGGCCGTCCCCCTAACTCCTCTGCGGCGTTCCAAGAAGCAGATGCGCGATCTCGCGCGCAGCCCCCTCGAATCCATGTCCCAGAAGCGCAAGGCATCCAGTGAGGTCCCCATGGCCCACAAACGCCAGCGCAGCATCTCGGACGTCAACCTACTGAGCATCTAGTACGATGCTTCGGTACTTGACCTCCCTGAAATATAACGGTTGAGGATGGCGTGGCATGATAGTCCTCCAAAGTGACGGGCACTTGCCATCCCTGGCCTCATACACCTTGCACCCTGTTTCTTTCTATGTTTTCTTGTGGTTCTATCTCCGAAAAAAAAAAGCGGCCCGTCAGATGAAGAGACGGTAGATAAAAGTTAGTTGGCGAAGTTGCCAATGCCTGGCTCATGTGCAGCGGGTCACGTTAGACCTGGACTTGCACTATGCCTTGGCGGAGCAGAAGAAATTCCTCCGCCAGGCGTGAACGCATACAGCGCTTGACGATGTTGACGTTTCCTATAGTTCCCAATGAAAATTATGATATTCAATACTTCTGTCTGTGGATGTGCTTTATTTCTTACGCCAAGGTTGACCACGCGTGCTGCTCTTTGGCTTTCCTAGGGCTGTTCCGCGTCATGCACCTGGTCTCCAGCAGCGGCACAAGTTGATTCAATCTGAATGGGGACGTCATGAATGGTTTCCTCACCCTGAAGTCTGACTTATGTACAAGAAGAGAAGAAACATCGAGGCTTTGACCGCGCACTCCACCCGTCACCACGACTGTCACATGAGGCGCTTGAATAACGTCCTCATCACTTTCATAGCAGACCCATCGGGCTCCAAGGCTCGGAAGCCCTTTAGCTGTACGTGTCAATGGCATTGTTAAATGCCGTCTCGATCTGCGCAACCAAGGTTTTCGCTGCACCCTGTAATGCCTCGGGCACCTTCTCAATGACAGCAGCGCTAAACTTGTCGGTCGCGCTCTTCTCCTGCTTGAGGTTGAGGAGAATGATGGGGCTCAGGAGGAGCTTGTCAAACTTGGGCTTCGCGTCGACAACATTTCCGAGGGTGGTCTCGACACCGCCCGCAAGTTTCTGCGTCGACTGCGCGACGGTGATGGCCTCAATGGCGTTCAGAGGCTCCGAGTCCTCGGCGACCTTGGTGGCCTCGTTGATCTTGATGAGCAGCTTGGTGGAGTCGATGATGATGGGGAGCGTGCCGAACAGGCCGCCATCCCAAGACGCAACGGTATCGCCCAGCTCCGTGTTCTGCGCGGCGATCTCGTCCATGGCGGCCACGATGGCAGCACCATCGGCAATGACGGAGGTGGCAAAGAGGCCGAGAAGCGAGAACTTGAGAAGCATATTGGCGACAGTTGCCGACGGATAGAGGCTATGGGAAAACGGTGCACTAGCTTGACGATTCAAGGCTGGAGATGAGGAGGACGGTGGATACGGCTCTTTTCATGATTGTTGTCAGTCCCGAACGGACCCTTTTATACTCCCAATTCAGTGATCCCAGCTGAAAGCCATCGCCATCTGTAGGGCATCGTCGCTCGACCGCCACGTTAATCGAGCTATTCCTCCGCCTATCAAAGCTGCTCATCGCCTCGCGGCCTGCCATCGATGTCATGTTTCCCCGCAATCCACATCAAGGAGAAGTGACACGATGGCTCTGCCTAGCCGGAGACGAGGTGTGATCGCGCGAATGCAATTCCGGGCAGTTGAGCAGCACTTCACATGTCCTCGGCCGAGAAGTTGGCCCAACTCACCAACATGGAGAGAAACAACACACAAATCATCGCAAACACATGCTGTTCTACAGGGGATCCTGACAATCCAAGCCGAGGAGAAGCAGGGGCTTTACCCCAGATTATGTTCCCATCCCCTGAACACCCCGCTGATCACCACTTAACCCCTCATGCAAGGTTCCTGCCGATGTGACTACTCAAACATGAGTGAGGAGCGCAAATTGCTCTCATTGGACGGCGCTAGATGACGCCGGCGCCGGCATTGGACATTCTGGCTCAATTGCGCTTCGGGTTCGGGCAGTTGAGGCGAGCTGGGAGTGGCTGGGCGTTGTGGTTGGTGCAAGCCGGCGCACCTTATGCCTTTTTGGACCTGAACCAATGGTTCCTCCGAGCTTTCGCGTCCGAATGAGACAGTCTGCGTAGTTGCGATGGCAGGGCCGAATCACCTCCGTCTCTGCAGAAATGACGGTTTGACGGATTGAGAGCTGAAAAACTCTAATGCGGTCAGTTAGAATTGAAGGTGCCATCTCAACTTAGGTGAAATAGTGCGTTTGCCCTTCTGCCCAATTGTTGTTGGTATTACTTCCAACAAGTAAGGCCATTTATTGTGAGGATCTTTTAGGTGCTATATACTACTTCCGTGCTTTCTTGTTCCCGTACCTCAAGCGACTACGAAACAAAGTTCATAGTATAATCCATATGTGTGCCATGACAGTCTTCTTTTCAGCGAAGCAATGAATGCTGAAGCTTGCGGCCGTCATGTATCCATACAGCGATACTCGGGAGGCAACTCCCGTGCTGGGCCGTAACATTTGGGACTTGATTCGTATACCCTATATACTCTCTACACGAAGCTGAGCTGTACGTTTGCTGGGACCCTGATGAGGAAATCACCGGCATCAGACTTATTTGTCGAGGCTGTCGTAATTGACAATCAGTGTGCACACCTACACTCTTCCCAGCCAGCTCTCCATGGTTTCCCAAAGAACTTGTCAACAGTTTGAAAGTGAACATCATTAATTATCTCATAGTACATAAACCGCGAAGCCTCTCGCCTTCCAGCAACGAGTCTGTTTCATCCCTCCTCGGCGTCCATGTTGTCGTGACGCCTCTTGCCACCTTTGCCGCCCTTGAAGGCCGTACCCCGCTTGCCCTTGGCGTCCATCATGTTCTTCATCTCTATACGGGCGACTCTTTGAGCTTCCTCGACTCTCGTCTGGAACACATCCACCTCGTCCTTCTGGGTCGGGTATTCGGGCAATTTCTTGCCCAGAGCTGCCTCGATCCGTAGGTAAATCTCAAGATCGTACTGGGTCATTATGGTAATGGCCTTGCCGGATTTTCCCGCACGTGCCGTACGACCTACTCTGTGGACGTATGTCTTGCTGTCAGACGGGATGTCAAAGTTGATGACTACGTCAACTAGAGGGATGTCGAGACCTCGGGCCGCAACGTCGGTGGCGACGAGAATATCGCGAGAGCCTGCCCGGAATTTGTTCAGCGCGCCCAAACGTGCCGTCTGGTTCAGCTGCCCATGGATCGGGATAGCCCCGAAACCCAAGGTACGGAGCAGGATGGCGAGTCTCTAGACGAAAGGTGTTAGTGGACATCGGTGACAAGGTGAACATGTGAGTTTCCAAGGCTCAAGCTCTTGCTCTTATGAGCCCCAACCAGAAAACCGCCCATGACTTACTTGTGTCTCTGTGACTGTTCTAGTGAACAGAACTATCTTCTTCCCCGAGTATTCGTTTACTAGGTAGACGAGGTATGTGTCTTTCTTGTTGTGGGGGCAAAAGATGTAGTTTTGGATGAGGGTCGACACAGTCTGGTGGCTGCTGGAGCTGATGCTGATACGCACGGGGTCGCGCAGACTAGCTCGCTGCAGGCTCTCGATCTTGGAACTCATGGTGGCGGAGAAGAGGAAAGTTCGACGTTCGCGAGGAATGAACTTGAGGATCTTGTCGATGCTGGGTCCAAAATCCATATCTAGCAGTCTGTCTGCCTCGTCCATGACCAGGTACTTGAGCGAACGCAGAGAGAACCCTTTTGTCTTCTCGAGATGATCAACCAAGCGTCCAGGTGTAGCCACTACAATATGAGGCTTCTTGCCCAAGGCGATTGCCTGGGCGACCATGTCCAGCCCACCGACAATGACTGCGACTCGAAGGTTCACTAGCGAGCCTAGGGCTTCGAAACTGGCGGCGATCTGGGCTGTTGAATGCAGGTGATTGATCAGAGTTTATGTTCAAAGTTTTAGCAGGGTGACTCAAGCGGCCGCTTACCTGCCAGTTCTCTTGTGGGCGCGAGGACAAGACCGAACAGATGGCTGGGCTTATCGAGGAGTGCTTGAATGATGGGCAGCCTGTTGAGAAGCTGTAAGCCTGCAGCACATTGCAGAGCGGCAACCTGTATCACTCACGCAAAAGCGGCTGTCTTTCCACTTCCAGTCTCGGCCAATCCAATGACGTCTCTATTCTGCAGCGCATGAGGGATCGATTGCGCCTGAATGGGTGTAGGGTTTGTGTAGCCGAGCCGATCGCAGGCTTCAACAAGAGAATCGACAATGCCCTGGAGATTGCTAGGTTAGCGGGTGTTCAGTTGAGCAGCAAGCACGGTCAACTCACGAGGTCCTTGAAGGTCTTTGCGCTCTCAGCTTTGCTGGCGGTGACATCTTCCTCCGGCTCCTGCTCCGACTCGAACGTGGACTCGACAGACTCGGCGGGAGATGCCTCCTTCTGGCGGTTGGCCTTGGGCGGAGGGCCGCCGTGGGAAATCTTGACTCGTTTGTTTGGTGGCATCGTGGAGGGTGTGTTTGGTTGGTTGTGGCAGTTGGCGCAAAGTGACCTGGGAGAGAAAGATGTGCAGAATTAAGGAAAAAAAAAAAAAAAAAGAATTCCAGCTTCACATCCAGCAAAGCTCGGCCCCGCGGCCCCGCGAAAATCTGGCTTAGGTAAGATGCCGCTGGGGAAAGCGGTGTGAGAAAACACAAAGCGATTGGCCAGGGTGAGCTTTAGAGTGGGTCTCAAAGCATGCAGAATTGGGCAGAAAAGAAAGCGGCAAGAAATTTTAGAACTGGGCGTTCGTGTGCAGGCGCATTTCTCCAGCACCATCTCAAGACCATCACAAGATCCTCCTGCGATTCCGTCCGAGCCCCAGCTTCTCCCCAGGCTTCCACCTCGACCCGTCGCACTCAATTAGACCGCGCGCGATTATTCAAATCTTCTTTTTAAAACACTCAATCGCTCGTCAACTCGCCCACAATGGCGAAACCTCGCCAAAAAAAGAGGACGCACGTCGGTGCTTCGAACCCCCAGAAGCCCGTCGATGCCAAGGTACCTAGATCAATGGTCATCCGTATCGGCGCAGGTCAAGTTGGCAGCAGTGTTTCGCAGCTTGCCACTGATGTCAGACGTGTACTTGAACCAAACACTGCCTCCCGGCTGAAGGAACGCAGAGCCGTACGTTACCGTCCATCGCCTTAGCTTCACATTGTGCAAACACTGATTTGGACAATAGAACCACTTGAAGGACTATGTTACTATGGCAGGTCCCCTGGGCGTGTCTCATTTCCTTTTGTTCTCTAGATCCGAAGGTTTGTGTCCCCAACTCGAAGCCTTATCACCATCCCCGGCCGGATCAGCTGCTAACGATAACCAGCTGGCAACGTCAACCTCAGAGTTGCCCTAACCCCGAGAGGCCCAACATTCAACTTCCGAGTCGACAAGTACTCTTTGGCTAAGGATGTTCAAAAGGCTCAACGGAGGCCCAAAGGCAGTGCGAAGGAGCAACTTGCTCCGCCCTTGGTACGTAGTTTTACAGCAAGAACAGCCCGAAAGCCTTTGGCTGACTCCTTTTAGTTGGTCATGAACAACTTCCACTCCCCCGATTCCGACGCAAAGTCAAAGGTCCCTAAGCACCTCGAGTCTCTCGCAACCTCGGTCTTCCAATCTCTTTTCCCGCCCATCAACCCGAACCAAACTCCTCTTAAGAACATCCGCCGAGTCCTACTCCTCAACAGAGAGCTGTCGCCTGAGAATGATGGGTCTTTCATTCTCAACTTTAGGCACTACGCTATCACAACGCGTGCTACAGGCATCTCGAGACCCCTCAGAAGACTCGATCGGGCGGAGAAGCTACTAGCTTCGAAGGTTGGCAAGAAGGGCGGCGTGCCGAACCTAGGCAAGCTTGAAGATATTGCCGACTTCATGATTGGTGGTGAGGATGGAGAGGGATACATGACGGATGCTACCAGTGGTAGCGAGATTGACACGGACGCGGAGATTGAGGTTCTGGAGCCGACAGCCAAGAAGATTTCTAAACAACGTGCTGCCCCTGTTGAAGACGCTGCTGCGGACGATGCCGAGGGTGTCGAGAAGCGCGCCGTCAAGCTGGTTGAGCTTGGTCCGCGCATGCGTCTGCGTTTGACCAAGGTCGAGGAGGGCTTATGCTCAGGCAAAGTCATGTGGCACGAGTACGTTCACAAGACAAAGGAAGAGATCCGGGAGCTGGAGAAGCGATGGGAGAAGAGGCAACAGGAGAAGGAGGCCAGACGGAAGCAGCAGAAAGAGAATGTCGAGAAGAAGCGGAAGGCTAAGGCCGAGCGTGGCGACACAGCTGGGGACGAAAGTGATGTGGATATGGACGACTACGACGAGTTCGACAGTGAGGGCCTGGCGGGCGATGCAGAACATCAAGTCAACGAGGAGATGGAAGATGCTGGCGAATGGGAGGACGAGGAGGAAGAAATTGCGAACGAATGAGCGACCTTATAGAAGAGAGTCTCGTTCATGGTGGATAATAATACCCAAGGAGTGGCTGAAGATGAAGGCATCATATCTTCCCTGTGACATGTTTCATTGAATGTTCGCTTCAGATTTATGAGGTTGCGATTTACAGACAAGGACGAGCGCCGATGCCACGGCTCTGCCACCGGATGCCCAAGTCGGGGAACCCCATCACCATCCCCTATACCCATAAGGACACAGCTTCTCATCGTTCCTCAGTCGGCTACCTGAATGGAAAGGGAGCACGTTGCAAGCCAAATTTCTGCCTCACAGGAAGACTTCGGCGTTTTGCGCATGTGCAGTGACGAATTTCACCAAGGTATATCCATGGTAGAGGACAGCTTTCCGTTCAACGTCGGACTAGATCCAGTTGGGAGAAATTGCACTTGAACAAGGGTCATGGGATGCTCGAGCTAGGGTGATATTTCTCGGGGTTGTGGAGACTGGGTGGGGGTTTCGAACATCTCCAGACTGGGAAATGTTCCAGTCTCGTACCTTTTGATGTGTAACGAGGTGATGAACAGACCCTTTCGAGAAACAATGTTATGTGTATGTTTTCTGATTTGGGATTCTATCTTGTGAAGCGACCATTTTCTGCGTACCCCGTAGATGAATTGGCACCGTTTTGCGCGTGACGGTACAGAGTTTCAAAGACGGACGACTTTTCCGGCACCTCTCCTCCGTACTGGTTCACCTCGCGTCGTTTGCGGCCCCAGCCCTAGATGAGTTCAATGATCTGATCATGTCCCAATCGATCTCAGGCCCCTGAAAGGTTTTGTTCCTGTCCATGTACCACAAGGAAACGACAACGAATAAAAGCCCAACCAAAACTACGGCAGTATAATTCATGCTGGCAGGTGTCGCAGGGAGGCTGGGTGGCATACATATAAAGACCAACAATACCAATATCCACAAGATGGATAATATGTTACAAACATATCCAGCCCAACCAAGGTTAAAGTACCGACGAGGCAAGCATCTTTGTCGGCCCCGAAAGAGGAGGATGGCTTGTGGAGCTGCATAAGTGATGTTCAAGAAAAGGACTGCTGAGGTCACTATTGAATTAAAGGCAGAGGTTGATACCAAGTACAAAAGACCGTAGAGACAGGCGAATACGTAGGAAGCGACGGTAGTTCGAATGGGCAGGTGTCGTTTGCTATCAACATTTGCGAAGTAGCTCGAGAAGGGTACTCCTCTCTGGAAACAGTCAGCAATACTGCGCAGCGGGGCTGACTTCCCACGTTGCATAACCCACATCGCGAGCAAATGCCCAGGCTAGACGACCACTGGTGACCCATTGTGATGGAAGACAAACTGGGACAGATATCAGTGAGACGGGTGGGCCATTGCCGATGTGGAATCACTCACCTAGATAAACGAAGAGGATATAAGCGAATAGAGGCAAAGTGACCTTGTCGTTGCCGGTCCTGACACTGCATTAGAGTTGAAGTCGCCAGTGTCGATCGTGATAGGAGTACAAACACCTGGTTTATCAGTTCCAAGCTAGGCAAACGAGATGAAATAACCGCCGCAAAGTCTTTCATGTAGAACATGAGAGACAAGAACAGAGGGAAGGCTGTGGCCAGACCGATGATCATTGTCAGCATCATGACCTGTGGGACTCGGCGACCGGGATGCGGCATTTCCTCGCTAATGTGAATAACTACTAAGTATTAGAAAGATTCACTATCCGAGATATCATCATGTGGGTGTGACTTACCATCGTCCGTCCCCCCAAAGGCGTACATTGCATTCGCGATACCCAAGGTCCACGCTATCCCTGCAGGCCATCTCCTTGATCCTAGACCCGATTGGGTCAGGAAAGATGCAGGTTGGCTCTGTTTATGCAAAGCGATGGCTACAAATAAGAGCACCAGAAAGCCCAAAACTGAACTGTACAACGAAAGCTGAACTATGAAGGTGATCTTTTGAGAGGCAGAAATCACAGGAAGTACTGAGAGTTGTCAGAAATGAGTTTCAAAGGATTCGATATGAAATTCGGGAGGTGAAAGCACCTGTGACGGTGGCAGTCCCCACATAGATTAAATAGATCTGCCATTGTGTTCCTTCAAAACCGGGATGCCAAAATTGGATCATACCAGCTAAGGTCATGGAGAATAAGGATATTCCCGAACATCTCAAGACACTTTACGTTAGCTTTCGAAATACCACGACTGACTTCCAAAGAGAAAATTACTTACGTGACGATCCACCAAGCCAGCATCGACATCCAACCTATCAGGTACCCGGCGAATCGTCTTGTATTTGGAGATGATAAGATGTAGCAGAAGTGATACTGGCCACCGGTGGACTACACTTTCATTAACAGTGAAGACTGGTTGGTATGTGACAGATACGACGGACCGGGAAAGCAGACGCTATCTCACCCAGACCAAGAGTTATGACAAGCTGAGCGGCAAATGCGACGAGGAGCCCAAATATACACGACTGCGGACCACCATAGATAAGATTCTGACCGAAATTGCTCTTCAATGGAAACTGTTAGCGCAGAACGAAAAGTTTCAATTTTTGCGATGATCAAAGAGAACATGGACGTACAAGATAACCGATCCAAGAGTTGGTGATAGAAAAAGAGAGGCCTAAAGCTGAAACCCAGCTGAATTGGCGCTTCAAAACTTGATCATGGCCATTGGCCCTCAGGATTGCATCGTCTATGTTCGCGTAGGGTTCTAGTGTACCATGGGATATGCTCAATCGGTGAAGGGGCTCATTCGAGGCTGCATCTTTCGCGAAGCACTTGTTGGCCGCTATAGCTGCCGGGTCGGCATGTGGAACGGCATCGGCATATATGGCATGGTTCATCATTCTCAAGTTAATGGGAGCGAAGAGGAGTCGTGTTAGACGTTTCGAAAGTCTATAAAATATAAGACGAAGGTCTACGGGCACTCTTTTCACGACCGCGGAGAACTAGCTATGACAAGGTCTTTATAGCCTTCAACTCTCCACCAAGAATCATGTAGCTGATGTCCTCTCTACAACTTCATAAGTGGTGCTTTTGACAGCCCAGCTAATTTTCTTATCACACTTCTGCCACATTGACATCATGTTCGTCGATGCATTGTAACCACGGACCAAGCATAGATAGCGAATTGCTGTAGATGTCTTCGGCATCCATTCGCCATGCCCTTGACGTTTGTGAGTGGCTCCACCCGCAGACTGTGCGATTCGCAATTCGGGCGACGTGCCTTTCAGTGACAAGTGACGATAAGACATATCAGTCGTGCACCTCCTTGCCAATCATAGCCCCAAACCTGAAGCCTATGGACACGGAGGTCATAGGATCTTACCCCAGTTGCCATGCTTTGCCATTCGGACCCCTCGTGTGACATTCGGCGACTGCTAACCCCGAACGCAGCGCCAACTGTGTTGATTGTCAACTTGTATGTTGTTATGCATAAAAGCCGCGCTAATTATATTACTCACGGACCCCCACCATCACATGGGGCTTGCGCCTTCTGTCTCCGGTTTAGGAAATAGTCTCAACCATGGCAGTGGGCTGGAACCTGCACTGCTACAGTGCCTGTCAGCAATAAACGGACGCCACCCCAATGCTAATTAGGTAGGTAGCTCACAACGCTGCGTCGCCTTGGTGGAACGAGCGGGCCCAAGTTCTTTGAGCCTGCAGTAAGCCATCATTCCCCGGAAGCGAAGCGTCAGAAGGTCTTTAAAACCAACTTTTTGTTTTTTTTTTTCAATTCGAGTACCCATCGAAGTCAGTTTCACACGCGTCATCACGCCAAAGCCTTTTTCAACACCAAGCCCCAGGCTCTAACGTATCTCATCACAACTGCTATCCCTAACTTTTGTTGTCGAACACGACCAAAGCCTGTGAACATGTCGAGAATTTCCGATAGATACGGCCCCGAAGTCCAGAAGATCTCAGCCGAAACCCCTATTGAGGACATCATCTACCTTTTGAAGCGCGATGGTGGTGTGTTTGTCAAAGGGCTTGTGGCCGTTGAGGACGTCGACAAATCCTATGAAGAGTGTCGTGAGCGCCTAGAAAGCGACGCTGAGTGGAATGGGTCATTCTTTCCAAGTAAGCCTCATCGGCCTATCAACAGCCGTCTGTCATGTTGCTGGGAGGCTACTCGACATCAACACAGCTCTTGCTGATGAATGGCAGAGGAAACCCAACGAGCGCCAGCCCTCCTTGCTCTCAGCCCCACATACGCCAGAACCCAAATGATGAATCCCATATATCAGAAGGTGTGCGAACACTTTCTGACCACTCGAAACTGGTTCTGGTGGGGCAACGAGAAAAAGGAGTCGGTTTCGAAGCCGTATGTCCACTCTTGCACTGCCATGAGGATTGGACCCGGCGGAAAAGCCCAACCCCTGCATAGGGATGACTACATCAGCCACAACCACCACCAGGAGATAGAGGCATGGGATGATGAACGAGACAAGAACCGAGAGACCGCAGTAGGGCTTTTTGTGGCTGGAAGCAAAGTCACAAAAGAGAATGGAGGCACCCAGTTCATTCCTCGCAGCCACCTCTGGTATGAAGATTTTCAAGCAGAGTCTCGGCGTCGACCGCAGTAGATGCATGTTGTACTGTGCTGATAGTGATTGAATGCTAGGGGCACCGACAGACACTTGCCACCACGAGTCGACGAGTGCATTTATGCTGAGATGGACAAAGGCGACGCTTTCATCATGCTAGCCTCAGCATATCATGCCGGCGGACATAACGTCACAAAAAACGAGAAACGACTGGTTTTCGCGACTTTTTCCATTCGAGGATATCTACGACAAGAGGAGAACCAGTACCTCTCCGTGCCTCAAGATATTGCGAAGAATTATGACAGGCCCATTCAGGAATACATGGGCTACGCCATGAGCGACCCTGCCTGCGGATATGTTGACCAAATGGATCCGATCTTTGTCCTGCGTCCAGAGTTGAAAGGGGACGGAAGGCCAAGCGATTTCTAGGCTTTGGGGGTAAATTATTCGTTCTTTCGTAGTGATTAAAACAATGTTTTGCAAAGCGATTCATTTAAAATGACACTTATAGTGTAACAATGTTTATTTTTCTGTTTGCACGTTCACAATAAGATAAATCTAAAAGAACACCTCAGCCTCTCTCGTGTATTCGAGCCACTGAACTTTACCTTGAACTTGATGAGAATTCTCATAACGCCTCTTGATTCCTACTGCCATAATACAAAACCAGGGCTGGTAATGGTAGAGAGTCACGCAAAGATGGAGAAATTCGACCGCAGCGATGAGACACGGCAATAGGGTACACAGGGATGTTAATTACAAGGGCTCGGCCCGGCAGAAGGGTAAGAAAATAGCGGCAAACCGGAGGTGACGGTGCCGCACAAGGACATTGTGCTGATTCAATTACCCTTAGTCAGACCTCCGTAAACTCCACTAGCGCAGGCGCTCTCGACGCCAGACAGGACGGCCATTTTCCTTCATCTACATTATCTACTCTCGCCACAGAGCCACAGCAAGAGTAACGCTTTACACAGCAGCAAAATCAATCATGCATGGAAAACTTGCCATGGCCAGAGGCTCAAAAGCCGTTCGAAAGGGTAAGTCAGACAAATCACTCGTTGGGATTGCTGCGCTCTGCTGCTGTGGGAAGCACAACCTGCCCCGTCAATTAGCCCCCATCTTCCCCTGCCTCGCAAAGTGGAAGCTATGTCCCGTTTCTACCCATGTCCCAGCTCTAATATTTGGACACATGAATTCCAGACCCGGCATGCGGAACTTGTCGAAAGAAGTGTCGCAAATGCGACAGAACACGGCCGACATGCAATCGATGCAAGTCGAAAGGTCTCCAATGCGAAGGATACCCCCCCAGGTTTCAATTTTGCGAATCGCCGTCCACTGCTATCGCGTCCAACGGCAGCAAAGTTCAGCAACGAGACGAAAATATCTCACATCCCTCAAGGAAGCCCGGTCGGAGCCAAGGCCGAAGTTCTCCGTCGGCCCAAAGCCCCCAGACATCCATATCGACTGACAGTCGCAGTGCGCAAGTTTTGCACCACCTCGTGCATCAGGGCACATCACCGGACGCGTCGACGTCTCCCCATCAAATCTCGGTTGGCCAACCATCACCAGTTTCTTTTACTGAGCGCCACTTCGAAAAAGAGCCTCTGACCGCTCTGAACCGAAACTTGTTGATTTATTGTGAGTCCCATCAAACTAAAAAGCTAGTATTGGGCCTCACAAGAAGTAGTTGACGAAAAGTTGAGCCAACACTTGACAATCGTAGTCAACGAGACCCAAAATCCGTTCCGACTTCACGTGTTACCTCTTGCGCATCAACATGTCGGAGTTCTTCACGCCGTCCTGGGCTTGGCCGCATGCCATATGACTCTGTCCCCCTATGGAGTTGAACAGGTTGATATGGCTACGGCTCTACAACATCGAGTGGCAGCCCTCAACGCTCTGAGTTCGCTTCTCATAAAGGAAGAGATCTACGGACTGGCGGCTGCTGAAGAAGACGCCGTACTGGCAATTATACTGCTCTTGGTCTTGCATGACGTGAGTGTCTTGGCAAATCTAGAATTTGTCATTAACTCCCCCACGTCCCGGATCCGAGCCCATCAGTCACACTAACGTGAGCTAAGATCTGCGAAATGGGCATATCCGCCCATGCCGTGCATCTGACAGGGGTGTCGTTTCTATGCGATAGAGTTGCAGTGGCCTCAAGCCTCGGACAGACGTCAAGCGCTAGCATGTTCTTCCTGTCAGCACTAGCATGGTGGGTTCATCATTCCAGGCTTTCTGAAGACACGCAACATTTCAACTGACATAAGTCGATAGGTTGGATGTACTGAGGGGTTTCAGTGGCGCAGAGAAACTTACTTACTCAGAAGCCGTTCGCCTATGTGTCGTGGCTGACCCAAAAGCACGATCAAGCTTCCACACCTTGGTTGGTTGCCCTCCTGCCGTTTTCCATCGCATAGGCGAGGTCATCGCAGCGGCCAAATGCCACCAAGCCAAATCGATCAGTTTAAACGATTTCGAGCAAGTCTTGCAAGATGCAGAAGTGTTCTTTCGAAATATTAGGCTGGAGGAACTAGATTATCCCAGCCCTGATGCCGAATGGAGAGATCTTGCCGACGCCTATCGCCATGCCTGTCTTTTGCGAGTGATCCGTTGGCCAGACACCTTTTCAATTCCCTGTGAATCTGACAAGGTGAAAGTCTCGGTCAGCGCTATACTAGACGCCAGTTCACGAATACCAATGAGCTCCCCTTTTCACAAACGGTTGCTATTTCCCCTTTTCCTCGCCGCTGTCGACACCTCTACAGGACACCAAATGCATTATGCAACACTATGTATCCAGCAAATCAAGCGCTCAACCGGATTTGAACATGCTGCAATGACAGAAGTGCTTGAAAAGGTTTGGGAAGCTAGGGCGAATCACATTCGTGCCTGGCCTAACATCCCTTGGATGGAGTTTGTAAGTACATTTGACGTCATAAAAAACGACCGGAGAAATACTGAAGCGCAATAAAAGACCTGCTCCGAGGCCCTCAGACAGCAACATGCGTATCTGTTCTTTTAAATCATGGAGTCAAAAGGCATGCGGCCATGAGATACGTGTACGCTGTACGTCGTAATCGGATTTTTGACGAAGAGAGCCGATGTGCGGATGCGGACTGTTGCCATTTTAGGAAATAAAGCACATACAGGACTTTGATGTCAACTTTGTTTCATATTCAAGGCCTGAACGGAGTCTCACTTCCCATACCTTTGGCAATCTACATGTAGATTAGACTCAGACGCATTGCTGACGCCTCGAATTATCACGTCCCACCAGTTATCTCAGTGCTTAAATCTTGAAGCAGACACTCAGGCTGGTTCAGACAGATTACACAGAAGGATAGTAGAAGCCGATAGCAGAGACTTTGATTTTAAGAAGCCGAATGCCTTTGTATGCCATTCTTGGAGTCGTTGAGATAAGACAGTCACCAAGAGGCAACGCTCGTGTCAGTGTCGACACCTAAGTAGGATTCATCGACTCGCTCATTTGAAAGCTAAGACTTGATTGTTCTCAGGGATTCCGCCACCTGATTCGTAAGCGCAAGTCATACAAATTACCTTCGTATCTATGGGGGTCGATTGAACCCCGCATCTTGTAAGAATGAGGGTTGCTAAATTCGCACGATGGTCTTGTATCTTCCCGAGATACATGCGAGATAAGAGAATAGTAAACATGCAAGCAGCCGGAAAAAGTGTTGGCAAGCCGGCTCGCTCAAAGACGATACCATAGCTGGAGCCGTTGGGAGAACAAGCCACACGCGAACAACAGTCCGCACCGTCATGGTTGCTGACAGTTTTTCCTCTTCGGGACGGACAATGCATCTGATCCACCGAAGCCCCAAGGTTGCGTGCCAAGGTGGCGCGTCGCACCAACGGCGTATACAGGTCTACTTTGCTCGAAGTCGACATCTTGACTTTTATTCCTATTGGCTTCAGCCTCCACTCGTGCAAGTACTGCAAGATACCAAGAACTGATGCGATGTATATTTTGGTTCTTTTGTCACATGCAAAGGCGGGGTAATCGAAAGTAGTACAGTTTTGCGTGGGCACAAAAAGTGGATGATTCGGGATGTCGTAAGATCCCACATACTCTCTCAACCCGTCGCTGGAGCTATTTCCGTTTTCGGGCTCGAATCATCCTTCAATACTGGGACGTAATAGGTGATCGCGGTGTCCAAGTATGCTTTTTTGGATTGACTCAACAATACTCAAATGACTGCCTTGCGATTTTGTTATTACCAGATATCATCGGTTGTACCTCGTTCCAAATAGTCCTTTTTCTTCATTCTGCCGCCATGCCCAAACATCCCCTAGACCCTCTATCAGTCGATGAAGTCCGCAAGGCATCGCAGCTCCTTTTGCAGGAGTTGAACTTGCCACCAATGAGCATCCGCTTTAAGGTGGTTGATCTGGCAGAGCCGCCCAAAGACGAGGTTCTCGCCCACCTGCAAAGGGGGAACCGGGTACCGGATCGCAAAGCTCGAATTTATTACCACCAAAAGAACTCGAAAGTTCTCACAAAATCAATTTTGAATGTCTCTAGCGGCATTATAGAGACCACCGAAGAACTTCCAGACGTCCAAGGCCCAGTGGACTGGGTAGAATACGACCTCGTGACTAAGGCCTGCAACAAGCACCCGGCAGTTCTTGCGGAGATTGCAAAGTTGAAAGTTCCACCAAGGTATGCCAAATGGGAATGTCCTAGAACAATGTAGACTGAAGTTGCTGGATAGCGCCCGAATCGTGAACGATCCTTGGGCATACGGCACGGATGACCCTTCCGAAAGAAGACGACTTTTTCAATGCTACATGTACTTGGCCCTGAACGACGACGAGGAGGCAAATCACTATTCAACTCCGTTACCACTTGCACCTATCTTCGATGCACATACAATGGAGCTTGTGGATCTTCAAAGACTTCCGCTCGGCGTTGGCGATGAACTTGATACCGAAACTCAGCCATGGACACCAGTCGAGCCTGTCGAATATAGTGCCAACATACTCGGCACGGAAGCACTACGCAAAGATCTGAAGCCTTTGCATATTATTCAACCTGAAGGCCCATCTTTCCAAATCGACGATCGAACTGTACTCTGGCAAAAGTGGCAATTTCAACTGGGATGGTCACTGCGAGAGGGTCCCGTTTTGCACGATGTGCGGTACGGCGAAAGATCTCTTTTCTACCGAGTGTCCATGAGCGAAATGACGGTTCCTTATGGCGATCCTCGAACCCCTTACCACCGAAAGCAGGCCTTTGATCTTGGTGACTCTGGGTTTGGGCTGACATCCAATAGCTTAGCTCTTGGATGCGATTGCCTCGGCCACATCGCCTATTTCGACGGAGTACGTGTCTCGGCTACCGGAGACCCTGTCCTGATGCCGAATGTGGTTTGTATGCATGAAGTCGATGACGGCATTGGCTGGAAGCACACCAATTTCCGCAACAGCAAGTCTTCAGTGGTACGAGACCGCAAACTTGTCATTCAATGCACGTCGACTGTTGCCAACTACGAGTACATTTTAGCCTTTGTGCTTGACCAAGCCGCTAATCTTCACATCGAAGTGCAAGCAACAGGTATCTTGTCTACCATGCCAATCCGTCCAGACCTCAGCGTATCCCCGTGGGGCACGGTGGTAGCTCCTGGGGTTCTTGCTGTAAATCACCAACATCTTTTCTGTGTACGCGTCGACCCGATACTTGATGGCGAAAGGAACAATACAATCGTGCGGGATGATTGTTTGCCCGTTCGGGGTAATCCTAACCTTGACCCTTTTGGATGCGCATTTCGCGTCAAAACCACTCCAATTACGAAGCCTGGCGGCTATGACCTAGACCTCTCGTCCGGTCGCACGTACCGAATCACGAACCCATCCCGCGTGAATGAGATATCGGGCAAGCCGGCTGGATACAAGCTTCATGCAGCACCTAGCCAAATGTTGATGATGGGACCTGAGACATTCAATTATCGGCGGGGAACTTTTGCATCCAAACCCATTTGGGTAACACGATACCGAGATGATGAGTTATGGGCCGCAGGGGAGTTCACCAATCAAAGTCGGGAAGACACTGGACTTGCAACGTATGCAACGCGAGACGAAAATGCCGAGAATGAGGATGTCGTACTTTGGCATTGTTTTGGACTGACCCATGTCACTCGGCCTGAAGGTTAGTTGCCCCTTCTTGCTGCCGTTCCTGACCACATAAGAGTTTGCTTAAGAATTATGGACTCTGATACGACATAGACTTTCCTGTCATGCCCGCTGAGAAGCTATCTTGCACATTGAAGCCGACAAGCTTCTTTCGCAAGAATCCCTCAAACGATGTTCCGCGGTCCGAGCAGCGCTATAACAAATCAACTCTTCATACGGCAGCGGATGGATCCTTTCCATGTTGCCAAGCAGCAGGCACGCAATGAGGAGAAAGATCGCCGAGTCGGATCGAAAGAAGTGAAGCAGGCAAATGTCCTGAAACTGCTGGTTTTGTGTTTTGAACTTGTAATTTATGATGTCTACGTTGAGATTGAGAACTTTTGCGACACGACTATGATATGCAAGTTGTGTCACATCTTGCAGCTCAGTGGCGACAGATTTGTTTTCGTTCTTCCTTGCTAATCTGCAATAAGTAACTATTGATATCAAGCATGCGGTACCCTCAGTGTTATGAACTCGATGTTCCACTAACCATGAGTTTTCTGGATCGAGAGGACTAAAGCCTAAGCTCGAGACAAGCGCCTCACATGTCGTAGTTTCGGCAGCGCGCTGGAAATAGCGTCTCCGGCCCAATTAGAAAACATTGCCAGAGTAGTTTGAGCCAAGTGCAGATGAACCTGTCAAAGTGAGTCGCATCCATAAAACGCAAAAATGTGATTCAGAATAACACAAGTTCACGGTCCTTAAGCGCTGCGAAGAACTTTTCAGTCTGATACGATGTAATACTAGGCAACATATTCGATATGACATTGGACTTTCGCCTCTGGAACTGTTCTGAAAGCATCGGCTGCTTCTTTGAGAGGCGCGGTGGAAGGCGGGAGCCCCTGCCCTATCGCCGCTGAAAAATAAGACCAACCACGTCGCAGACTTGTGCATCGATCTGCTACAGCAGCCCTGAACTGAGAGACCCGCCTGCAATGTTTTCGTCCACAGCATCCCGCACAGTCTTTAGAAGCTCGCGACAGGTGAGCCCCAAGCCGAAATAATTGAGCATGATTCCAGGAACTTCCTCGTCGACAGCCATGCAAACTTGATGGGTGAGCTGGACTGGACTAAGAGATCTTATAGCCGCCTGACACACCCAGTGTCAGCCAACAACTCGTGCAAGATCATACGAAATCGAGTTATCACGCACCTTTCTCTTGTTCTTGATCGAATCTTTTTCATCATTCGTGCTTGCGGACTCAAGTTCCCGATTTCCGTCGGAATCGTGTTTCTTGTACCATCCACTGCTGTTGAGAATGAGATCAACCACTTCGACACCCAGCCCTCTTGTTGCAAAAGTGGAACCACAATTGCTAAGCAGCAATTGCACCTTATCTTCGCAACTCCTCTTGAATCCGAGTCAACTAAGAACGTTTGAGCAAAGGCCATAGATGCCCTAGCCTGGTAGTTGATCGTTCTGATACCAGCCCGAGACATCGGAATCTTTTTGTTCTTAGTGCTGCGATTTGGTAACCAATGCGTCGCTGAGATTCCCTTGGTAAGTGCAAAGTTTTTGGAATAGGCCTCAAGAGATGTCGGAGGATTCCCCAAAAAGAATGCCGAGTTCCCTTGGATCTTCGCAATGAATCCAAGGTCCGCTCTCTTCTCCTGTTCCTCAAGGATTCCCTCTTGTCGCAGCGCTTGATACAGCTGGACAGCATGCATCAATTTCCCTTGGATACGAACTCGATACCAAGCCGGTGGAAGGCTGTTCTTATGTCGTGAACGTGAAGATCGCAGAACATGGGATTGTAACTCAAGAAGTTGGACGGCCTGGTTGGCAGACCACTAACTTGCCGTATGGTGTTGAAGATATCTTTATCTGAGCCCCACTGGTCCACCGACATCAGGAGATCATCAATTGCCTCCTTGAAGTGGCGACCCTTCTTAAGCTCTGGTGCTTCTCTGACGACATCTCCAATTGAATTCGTGATCCTCTTCAAATATTCCCCGCCTCTGCGGACTTCAGAACCAAGAGATTTGAGGACGTCTAGGTAGATCCGTGCACCAAATGCAAGCCAGACACCGGGGATTTTCTTCGTCTGCATCTTTTGCTTGAAACCTTTGACGAACTCGTCTTGAACTTGAATGCCCTTGAGTGTCGTGACGATGACATGCATGTCCGCAAAGAGCTCCAGTAGAGCCGCTTTATCCTCTTGCCAACGCTCCCGGTCGTCTTCAGCCTTGTGATCGTCTCTGTACCAGCCGAACTTTCCATTGCAGGAAGGACACGTGTCAGAGAGACCCTGTCCCTTGTAAGCGTTAAGGAGGCATAGAATGTTATAGAGGAAAAAATTAGTCTCAGCGTAGCACCTATAGTTGTAGTCATCGGTTGGTTGACGTTTATCCTCAGGATGCAGCCCCTGAGCCGCACATGCGCCCCCAAACACCATCGGGATAAGTTCTTTCACCCCACCAAGCTTCTTCAGCTGCGTGGAAACCTCTTCTTCCATGCTATGAGCAAGCTTGATGGCTGTGTTTGTAGCTACCGCAACGGCAGCAAGATCTCTAGATCCAGCCTGATATTGTTGCCAAAGGCCCAGTACTTCCTCACGAAGTTTGAAGAAATCCGCCAGAAGTGTCGACAAAATGGAAAGAGATTCCGTCTGTGTGTCTTCTTCCTCAGCCGCGTACTCAACATCGCCGAGACTGGGGAACACTGCGTCTGGAGCAGATAAGAACTCATCAGAGGGTTCGTAAATACTCAGAGATTCAAACATATTGCCATGTGATCATAGAAATAGCAACGATGTGGATAAAAAAGGCGGTCTGGCGAATATACATACATATGGAGGTCACGTGTAACTACGCGCTCTTCGAAAGCTTGTATCAAATGTGTCACTATTGACACCAATAATTGTAGTTGAATTTTGAGATGGTATTGAAGTTATGCTATAGCGATTCCAGTGGTATCACCCAATTCTGCGAATAAAACCGCCTTTTTCTTTTTGTTGATATCGATGGCATATATACCACCAGACAGGTCGGTCACATACACCACGCTCGCGTTCTTATCCAAAGCCAAACCGATCGTCTCATGCAAGCGAATTGCTAAAGTCTCAATCTTTCCTTCCAGTTCCACATTTGCTCGGTTGAGAGAGTTGCCAGTGGGGGGATCTCCGCGATCTGTCCAGTAAAGCATACTAATCTCTTCGTCGAGTTCAAGGTCAATCGGCTCCGGCAGCTTTTCAAAGACCACTTCAATGTCTCGGACCAACACGCTGGCGCCCGAAGCTGGCTCGATCGGCGCTCGAAGAATACGACCCTGGTTGCCCTTTGATGGACCTTTTTGAGTCCAGTAGAAGAGGCCTCGCCGCTCATCCACGGCAATGCCGACGCACCACCTTGATTGATCTAGCATATCTGCCTCGGTATTCCCCGTCGAAATAAGAATCTCAACCTCAGAACCATCGAGATTTGCTCGCATGACTTTCATGCCTTCTCTGTCGCACCAGTACAGCTTCTGGCTTCTCTTCGCGATGGTGATTTGTTTCGGTGTGAAGACACCTGAAGTTCCCACAGGAATAACAACTCTCCTGTCAGATCCATCCAAGTTGGCCCTTTCGATAGAACCGCTGTTGGATTTGAAGCTTGATCCCATGTTTGTCCAGTACATGTGGCCGTTTGCATGGTCTATGGCAATGCCATCCGGAAGAGTATCAATATTATCAATAATCGTTCGAAGGTCACTCCCATCTGGAAGACAAGATAATATGCGTCCGGCCCGCGTGTCTTGACGAGGATGCGACAAATCCGTGTCAAGGATGTAAAGACGTTGTTGCGGTTGTGAGCCCATTGTTACTAAGTGTTTGAAATAGGCAGTGTTAAAAGAATTGAGTTGACAGCCGTAATGATAATCGTAATGAGTGAGACCTCCAGGCATAGAGAAGAACCAAAACAAGAAGTCGTTCCGTGCGAAATATTCATTTAAGAAGACCACTCGTAAGTTGCGCGGCCGGTGTCTTTCCAGACGGAAGACCCATTCGAGAGTAGTTCTACAAGTCGGGTTCCGTCTTGTAGAAAAAAAAGTTTTCAATTTGCTGGTTGCGAATGAATCACCAGGCAGCCCGCTAACGGCAACTTATGGTTCCGTCCGTTACTCGGATTTCGCACCTCGGTCTTCACGATATACCCACTGTCACAGAATGCGGCGGATGCCTTCCTAGTTGCGCGGCGAAATTCCGCGTGGCCCCGCCTATATACATGGATGCCCCTGGTCAAGGCCCTCACGTGGGACGTCATTGCCCAGTTGTGCCATGCCCATGAACCCCTCGCGTTTCGGTGCGGTCCTCAGTGCCATTCAAAATTCAATGCGATGCCGAAAACTATCTCGGAGGAAGGTTCAAGTCAATTGCACTCTCTACATCAATTAGCAACAACCACTAGTGTCTAGTTGTGAAGAGAGGTGAGTGAAAAGAGAAAGGTGAAGACGAGAATACTGAGGAGATCGTGAAAAAGTCTCTTGATAAAGATGATATATCAATTATAGTCTAACACTGATACACACTCTCACATGTCTATGACTGCTTGTCGGTTGACGCATAATCATCCCACTCTTTCCGAATGTTTAGCAATCTGACAAGTTCCTCGTCACGCTGCTTAGCCAACTGCCGATACTCCCTCCCAGCAACCCCGTTCATTGTTCCTTCCACCCACTTTTGCTTCAACTCATCTGTCACTTCAGGATCTTTGGGCGCATACCAAGTCATAAGGGGACCTAACAGATGGTCCGCCATATGCTTGATCCCGCCTTCGCCGCCCCCCAAGTGAAGCAACATGCTGGGACCCATGACACCCCACCGAAGGCCTGGCCCAAAGCTCATAGCTTTGTCGATGTCTGCTACATTGACAATGTCCTCCTGGAGAAGATACATGACCTCTCTTACTAACGCGGCTTGTAGTCGGTTGGCAACATGGCCCACAACCTCTTTCTTGACATGCACTGGCTTCTTCCCCATGCGCTCGTAGAAATCCATCGTCTTTTCCACAGTCGATGTGGAAGTTTTGTTCCCCCCCACAACTTCGACAAGGGGAATGAGATGCGGGGGGTTGAAAGGGTGGCCCACCACGCATCGCTCCGGCCTCCCGGAGGGACCCATGCCCTCTTGAATACTCGAGCATGTCAGACCGCTACTACTCGTTGCGATGATAGTATTGGGTCGGATGATTTTGGCCATTTCCATGAATAGCTTTCGCTTGAAATCAAGCTTTTCTGGCCCATTTTCTTGTACGAAGTCGGCATCTTTGAGGGCTTCGCGCATGTCCGTTGTAAACGTGATCTCAGTCGCTTTGACATCCGATTTCTTCGTCAACCCCAATGACGACAGAACTGGCAGTGCGTCGGTGACAAGATTGCGGAGGAAAGTCTCCGCGGCTGGGTTGATGTCGAAGGCAACAACGGAGAGTCCTTGGGCTAGGAACAGTGCCGCCCAAGACGCACCAATCGACCCACAGCCGATGATGGCAACGTTGTGAATGTCAGGCATGATGAAGAGAACGCTGGCGTGGTAGCAAAGGATGTGATTGGTTGATTGCAGACTTTGCAACTAGGCAGTGATACGGAAGGTGTGCTGGTGATTCGAGAAACGTGGTGGTAGTGCTAATGGCACGACCGTGACGCAGGCAGCAGGGCACAGAAAGGAGGTTTTTATGAATTGGGAAAAAGTAGCAGAAGTCGGATGAAAAATTGAGAACAAGATTAGATAGTCAGTTGATTTAACGAGGGAATGAAGGTTACTTGGATATTTCAGATAGCTACACGGACGGAAGCCCCGAAAGTAACGACGTAGTCCGGGCCGATCCCGGTCGCGAGAGCGTGGAAGCTCGGCATGTCTTCGCGACCCACAACGCCGATGTCCCCGCGCTAAAGGTAGGTAACGGGCCTGCAGTCTAGTGGGGAGCGTGGCAGAATTCCGCCCGCGGAATTAGGGCGGCGGGCCTGCGACTCGTGCGCCATCTCCGGATCACCAATCTTGGCGATTCCAGCTCCCTGTCCGTGGAGTTTCCAGAAAACTTCTCTTGGCCCGTGACAGTCTCATTGTTTTGCGGCAACGTCATTCCTGTTCTTTTCACGCGTTAGTCTGGTGTCTCGACCGCCGGCACTCGCGTCGACCAAAAACGTCCGACTTGCGTACGCCTTGCACGAGACTCAGACCTGGTTCACGTCATGCTCCGGGATGCACTGCCCCACATCATCGGTCCTCACGGCGTTCGCAGCCCTGATGGACGCAAGGGTCTTCCGACAGCGGCTGTTCCAATCAATCCGCACCGGTCACCGAGATATCTTCGTCTTTACTCCGTTTCCGCCATTGTCAACCAAATTCCCACGGATGACCCGCCCTCACACGTCTTTGAGTATAAATCGAATAACCCCGCCTGGTCTTTAGCTTCCCAATATCCTTGGACTCTTAGCCATTGCAACTTGCAAGCCTTATTCTGCTTCATCGTATCCTTTTCTTTCCTTCTCGAAACCATTCCAAATACAAATCATAAATCATGACTGTCGAAAAGATCCCCGACATCTACGGCCCGGGTACCTTCACAGATAAAACATTCACCTCTGTGCCAGAAGACACCGAACGCATCTTTCGTCTTATAGCCAGCCAGACTCCCGGCTTCACACAAGATGAAAGGATTCTCTCCAAAGTTCAATTTACTGGGGAGTCGTACCCTGTCATCCCCGGACCTATCAAGGCGACTTCGGTGGCTGCAGCATTGCATGCTATGACTGGCGTCTTGGCCGACGAAATTCTTGCTCTCCGCGACGCCAAGAATGACGAGCGTCAGATTACAGTCAACACCACGCACGCCGCCATTTGGTTTGGCTGCATTGCGATTGCTTTCTTGGATGGCGTTGATGTCGTGAGCCTGGTTAAACAGGGCAAGTTGAAGGAGTTGCTTCCCGACTGGGAGCGAGGATGGACCGACACTCCTCTCAAATACCGCGCCACCGGTCTGTACCCTACAAGCGACCCCGAGGTTTGGTATTCGCTTCATGGGAGCATGAATGCCGAGCCGGTCCTACGATCTATTGGTGTAGACCCCTCTACACCCGCCAAGACGCCGGAGGAGGCCGCCCGGCTCATTGCCCAACACACATCAAAGCTCAGCCCAGAGAAGATGGAGATGACAAATCTTCTGAACGGATTCTGTGGCAGCATGTGCTTCACGCCCAAGCAATGGCGTGAATCGGAGATGGGACGTTCGCTGTCGAGACATCCCTTGGTAAACGTTCAGAAGCAAGAGCAGGCCATCCCAACACCTCCGGTGGACTTTCCGCCTCTGGACCCCAACGACAAGCGTCCTCTAGCTGGAGTCAAAGTTGTAGAGATGACTCGTGTCATTGCCGGCCCGCAGATTGGAACAATTTTGGCTGCGTACGGAGCCGACGTGATTCGTGTGAATCCTCCACACTTACCAGACATCAACATCATGCAGTTGACCTTGAACGCTGGAAAACGAACAATCGCCATCGACCTACGCAAGGATGAAGACGCCGCAATTCTCAAGTCTCTCGTCTCGGACTGCGATGTTTTCATTCAGGGTTTCCGCATCAACAAGATGCCCAAGTTTGGTCTTGGCCTCAACGATCTGCTTAAGATGGCCGGTGAGCGCGGCCGTGGCATCGTATACGTCAGCGAGAACTGTTTCGGCCCTGACGGCTACTATGCTGAAAGACCCGGTTGGCAGCAGATTGCCGATGCTGCCGCCGGATCTGCTTATGTGACAGGAAAGTCACTAAAGCTGTCCAACAACGAGGCAGTTCTTCCGAGCTTGCCCATTTCCGATATGTCAACCGGTGTCCTCGGAGCTGTTGGTGCCATGTTGGGCCTGAAGAGACGGGCAGTTGAGGGGGGAAGTTACTATTCGCATGCCAGTCTGACTGGTGTCAACGCTTACGCCCTGACCGAAGAGGTTGGGCTTTATCCCGAAGCCACTGTGGAAGAATGCAAGCAACGCTTCCAGTGGGGTGAAATGAGAGGATCACACCACGTACTAGATCTCCTTGTCACCGTGTGGAATGGATGGCAAAGAGTTCTTGGGGATTATCTGCAGCCCGAGAGTGACTGGTTTCAAAGCTTTCACGATAGCGCTTTCAACAAGAAGACGTTAAGCATTCTGAAGCCTGTGGTTAAGTTCAAGGGCGAGCAAGACACAACTCCCGAATGGAAGACACCGAGTGTGCCCTATGCAAACGAGAGGGCAGAAACAGTCAAGTTTCTTTGATTAAAGTAAATTAGCCACATACTTGATTATATGTAATGGGAGCATGATGTCTTCTTGTATCAGAACACCATTGATTTCTTTACTGTGACTACAATATCCCCGGCGTCACTGCAAAGCACTTTGTTGTTTGAACTAGGAATGCTATCTCTGAGTCCGGATCAACATCTGTTGGCTCTACCTATCCCCGCCAAGTCGTCGTTGAGCAGAGTATCCTTCTCAAATCCATTGACAACTTGGTGAAGCATCGCAGCGGATATCTCTTGGACACAAATGCTTGGCAAGGATGCAACCCATTTTAATGCAAACCCCATTGCCATCTTCATATAATCATTCGGTGCAGTAATCCAACCAGGTTTTGAAATGCACACTTCGACTTTTGGTCTGTGTTCTTCCGCGAGTGCGAGAATAGCACTTTCAGCTTCGCCCTGTCAATTCGAACTTGGTTAACAAATGACCTTTCGACCCTCAACGGAAAATCGGGAGAGAAGAGGAGGGCAAAATCGGATCAAGCGTACTCGTAACAAGGAATATCTAGGCTTGAAACTAGGAGTCTTGGTTTGGTCACGCTCCGAGGCGATGCCGCTCATGTACACAAATCGAATAGGCTTCGAATTGGGGCCGAATGCTGCCTCAGATCGCGCATCAATCATGGCCTTTAGAGCCACAAGAGGTGAGCGGAGACAAACGCGTTGAACCTCATCCCACTCATAGGCATCGGATCTTGACGGCGTGATTGCTACTGTCCTATCCGATAGACGCAATATATCGTCAGCGCTTTCTGTGCAAGACCGTGACGTTGTATTCATTTTTCCAAATGGGGACAGGGAAGATAGAGGTAGGCTAGAAGAATGATTCACGACATGATGGAACCCACCAAATGCAAGCATCGGCATTCGCGAAGGCTGCTTTCTCGTCGTCAGAGTAAGTGTCATAAGATCCAACCACAACAGTCGTCAGCTTTGATATCTCGGCAGCAGATGGACCTCCGTTTCCAATGTCCACGGGGCGTCTGGAAAGAGCTATTATGGATGTGATGCTGGGCAGCCGCAAGCTCTGGCGGACGAGCTCCGTTCCCACAAATCCGTTTGCTCCAGCGATAACAAGCTTCATTTTAGGCGATGCTGGCTCCAAGGGTCTTTATCTTTCGGATGAGGCCAGAAGATATAAAGCAGGCTGGGTCAGGAATTCTGGTCTGAGAAGCGGGGTTAAGAAAGTCAACATGCTTATGGAAGCCATCTATAATCCAGTAAGCACTAGCGAATCCTACGATCTTTTGTCATCAAAGATAACAACTATTAGACTTATATAACGAGAATCCCTAGCATATGCCTAAAACCACTTATTATTATCATTATTATTATTAAAGACAGGGTGTCTAGATGTCTTATTAAGGACTAGTCATCTTAGTGAGCGTAGTTCTCTAGCATTATACTATTATACTATTATGACAGCAAAAGTTTCCGTCTGTGAATTCCAGTGTTAGCACTGACGCTAGGGCCACCTCCGGCCTCTTGGTGCGCTGTGAAGCCGCTTGGCGATAAGGATATACGGCCTGATGGTCTAGTGGTACGATTCTCGCTTTGGGTTATTGTCCAGTAACAACTGCGAGAGGCCCCGGGTTCGAACCCCGGTCAGGCCCTTTTTGGGGGCTTTTTGCTTGTGACACCTTGTGATTTCCCTGTATAATTTGCCCTCAGCGATTCAGGACGATGAAGTCAATCTTTCAGGCAGTATTAAGCTTGTGAATCTTACTGCTAAGGCTTTATAAGGTATTACCGCCCTTCGTTCTAGACTTAAGCATCTTGATTTCATTTATCTTTCTTCTTCTTCTTCTCCTTTTTGTTTTTTTATCACGGCGTACTGTCACTGCATAGCTCAGCCACCAGTAAGGAAGTCCTAAGCAATGGAATAAGGTGTTGTTGACGAAGACCCCCCCACCCCCCCATTGCATGCAAGAAGATAAGATGAGGAATGTTCCCCAACAAGCCGGATGACCGATCTTTCTCAGCATCACACAATATCTCTTGCAACATCATCACCAGATGCGCACATTCACCCTGGACATACCTAAGCACGCACCCCACGCCAAATCGACAATGGCATCGACTGCCCAAATCGCTCGTCTGCCGAAGCCGATACACTGACGAATGACAAACTCGAATCCCGTCAGATCATGGGTCATCGCCTTGACACAACTGACTCACCAGGCTCGACTTCTTGGTGTGTTAGGACGCGGCAGATTCTGAGGCTGAGTGGACAT